GGAGATTGGAGAAGATGGGGGGAGGTTTGAAAAAGAGAAGGGTGTTTAAGAGCACAGCTGTGTAAGCGGCGCCTGGGTGGCTCAATGCTTTAAATCCTCTGCCTTCGGCTCAGGTCATGGTCCCGGGGTCCTGGGATGGAGCCCCACATCGAGATCTCTGCTCAGCAGGAAGCCTGCCTCCCCCGCTCCCCACCGCCTGCTTCTCGGCCTACTTGGGATATCTGTCTGTCAAATAAATAAATAAAATCTTAAAAAAAAAAAAAGAGGACAGCTGTGGGCAACTTCATCCAGTGGTGCTGGTGAGGGCAGTAAAGATGAGGACTGCATTTAGTCAGGACTGGGAAACAAATGGTGACTTTAGTGGAGGCATTCAGTCATTCATTATTCAATGCATTCAAGTGATTGGTATGCACTACATTTTACTCACACAGTAATGACTGATTCAATGTGGTAGAATTAAGAGCCAGTTGGGTGTAAGGAAGCTTAAGTCATGAAAATGGAGAATCCTGAAAGGAAAAAGTGAGGTGGGAAGGCAAGCCCAACCTAGAAGCATAATCTAATAAACAAAAGTGCTAGCTGTTGCTGTTGTTGTTCTAATAGAAAATCACCAGAGTTTGTTATAGTGCACTGAGTTGAATGGTGACATTGCAATATTGTGAAAGAATGAAACAAAATTCTTTATGGACTGTGTTTAAATCAGAGAAAACAGGCCAAGGTGTCCATGAACATCAATAAAGCTTTATAACAATACAATTCATTACCATTGTTTGGATTAATATTGTAATAATTACACACTTTTTACATTATGAAAATAAGTCATAAATAGTGTAAAAATAATTCTGAAGTTCAACTTCTCACAAACTAGGAACCCTGAAAACAAGTTAAAAAAGCAAATAAAAACAAATTAGAAAATGAACACAATGCAACTATCTCCAAACTGCACATCAAAAACCTCATGTCTTTTGATTCAGCAATGTCAGCTGGAGAAATTATAATGAAATTGAAATAAGAAATCAAACAGGGAGCATTCAAGCTTTCAGTTATGTACACTATAGAGAAAAACAGGTTTGTGCCATATTTACAGTGATAAGACACAACACATTCTTAGAATAATCAATTACATGAGACTGGCCCACAAAATGTTAAGAAAAATATGCAGTGTAATGCTTGCCAAAATATTTTTTTTTGCATTTTCTTCTCATTTTGTATTCACGTGATTTTTTTGGCAATATAAAAATAGCTGCACATAGAGATGAACTTTAAAATGTAAAAAATACAAATAAAAATATAATATTTTCTAATGGAAAATCAGATACATACATCTTTTTAAAATGTTATTAAGTTGCATGAAACATTTACAACAGTATAAAGAATATTCACATAAATGTCAACAATAGATAAGACATTCTTTTGTGAATCCAATTTATTAATATTTCTGAGATATGTGAGGATATCTACTACATTTTGAGAAACGTTGGTACTTTATCGATAAATCAAACACAACAGATCAGGTTGAAAAAAATCTTCCTATTCCCCAAAGGACAGTTCTGTCAATAAAGCAGCATAGGGAATCTTATGCATTAAACACGTTTAAAATATCAGAAATACCATTAAAATGTTTCAGTATTGGATTAGCAAAACAAAATCCACCAAAAGCTTAAGCTGGAAGCTTATCTCTGCTATGGCATAAAGTAAATCTAGCCAATATGAAAAAAAGGGGGAAAAGTAGGGACGGAAGTTCCTCACATTTTAAAATAATTTTAGCAGAATCATAATTGATCAGATATGTTAATTCCACTAGAAATGAAGATTTTTTAATTGCCAGAATCACAGGTGCTTGTTCTTAATTATTATTTTTGAGAACATATGATTAGGTTGCTATGGCCTTGATTTTACAGAGATAGCAGAGTTTTTTTTTTATTTGTTTTAGTAGAAATTTAAAAAGTTCATTTTAGTAATGTTAGTTATTAATATAACTTGGTTATGAAGACATAGAGGGAAAACAAGGTTTCAAATATCAATCTCTGCATGTTTCTATGATTGCTTACTAGGAGATTAAAACACCACCTGCTATTCAAGCATAACTTATTTCTGGGTAAGATAATATATAGCGGCAAAAAAAAAAAAGGATGAAAAGCAGTATTAGCTCTTTATGGTACAATAGTAATATAAAAAGAAACCTTGGAAAATTAAGCACATTTTTAAGTGATAAAAACATAAGATACTGGACAATTTTTCCATAGGTCTTGACATGCTGATTTGACCGTTTTCCAAACTAGCAGATATATGTATAGACAGAGGAACTCTAGCATGAACTACAGAAGCATATGTTCTTACTGTCTCATCAGAACATCATGGACAGAAAGTAAATTCAAGAACAGATTTTTTTTGTTTTGTTTTTGGTAGAAATCCAAGATATTCTTATGTTTTCTATAAAATCAAACAAGAAAGAAAAATCCTCCAGAATAGCTTCTCATAATGAAAATAAAAGCTAGAAGAAAAATTGGGGCATATTTGTGTGTCAGGTACTCTATGAATGTGTTAGACTTCTTTAACATCGGTTTTGTCAGATTTCATCAAACGAAATAAGCTAAAAAAAAATGAGGATGAAAGTTGGTAAAGACATATGGTATATGCAATGAACATGAAATAAAAGGATCCATGATCCAAGTAAACACACATCATCTCTAGGTACACTGTTTTGTTTTACATTAGGAAAGACTGGTCACTGAAACATATTACAGCAAATTCATGAACTTTAAAAAATAAAATCACACACTAACAGTTTAGGAATGCTATTAAACAGAAAAATGAAATTATCCATAGTAGAGTTGCATTGTCCATAAAAAAAATGCATTAGCACCAACATGAATGGAAAACAATATTAAAGCTAAAACACATACCAATTTGGCATCCTTAAAAGATGCTTATCAGAAATAGAAGTAGCTCTTGACTTATTTCCAATGTGTCTTTCACATATTTTTTCTCAATCTTCTATCCAATAATACAAATTAAGGGTTGGAAATCTTGAAGAAAACTAGATATCTGCCAACACATATACCAGCAGACATAAGTTTTTAGTTCATTTGGCAATATTTGAGAATTCTCTATATTGATGACAACATGGATGGCTGGAAATATTTTAGTAACTAAAAGTTCAAGATTATCCATGGTGGTTAAGACCTAATAATTCCACTGAACAAAGAAGAGTACTATCATCTCTTTGTTTTTCTCAGGGAAATTAATGTAATAGGAGTCTACAGCTTCCCTTACTCATAGAATAAAAATCAATGTTGTCAAATCAGTTGTAGAGCAAAAAACCCAACATAACCTAGGACAGAAGGGCTATGTTCAAAAAAATTTTTTGTGTGTATAAAATGTTTCTTCTTGATATTGAGGTATTTTGTTTTGAAGCTGCACAAGTTTTCAATAGTGATTCATCTCAATACCTCTTTCTACTGGAGGAGTAGAAAGAAAGATAGAAAGAAATATAGCCACCAGATTTTTTTCAAGACACTGCTGCTTGTTTTCCTGAAGAGACAGTAGTTCTACCTGCTTTGGTTCATTTTTCTAAACCATGTAAGACAAATCGTTTCAGACATTGAACAATACTTTTTCCTAACCATGTCAAACAAGAGATGGTTGGAAAATAAAGGCCCTCTATTGTTTTAAAAATGCCGAACTGGCCTCAAGTGTGGAATGTTACTAGAAATGTTACCAATTATATTGATCTAATAATTTGGACATCTTTCCAATCTCAAAAACTTATTAGAAATAAAAAGAAGGCATTTTGTATAACTGAACATTTGGTTGTAGAATATGAAAGAGATCCCAAGCATCTTAAGATCTTTGTCTTATCTATCTTAACTGTTGTCACCATAAGTCAGTGATGAGCTAATTTTCCCTCTGGTGGTGAAAATTTATGAATGGAGCTAGAAATTTTCCCACAAAATGACATTAAGTCAGGAGAGAAAGTATATTGTCCTATGGGCTGAAAGAGTGACTACTCTTCGTTGATGGGGTTTCCCTTAATGTAACCCTTCCACTCAGAATAAGCATTTCAAAACATATTTCCAACTCTTTACTGTGCAAAGAAATGCTCGGTCTAATACAATTAAGTAAGTTTTGAGCAAGTAGATGAAAAATATTCTATGGCAACTATATTTCACAGCTTTCTGACACACAGATTTGGTCTGTGCATAAGACAAACATTTAGAAATGTAAAAAAAAAAGATAAAGAAATCTAAATATGGACAAAACTTAAATCTAAATAGAATGATAAGAAATAGAAATGAGTTAATACTATCAAATGTGACCAAATCTTGACTTAAATGATGATCGCTCTGTAAGTTACAGTCATCATATGAAAAAAAAAGTCAACAAGAACTCAAGAAATTGCTTGACTTTGATACTTTACAATGACCGAACTGAAAGCAGAGTTTCTTTTATATTCTCTTCAGTTATTCAGAACGAGAGAGAAGTTAGTAAAAAGTCAGCTTGACAACTGCTACCAAGTTATTAGGATTTGAAGAACTTCTTTTAAAAAATTGTACAAAACAAATGTGACAAAAACTGAAACAAATCTTTTCTTAATATTCCTGGGACTAGAAAAGAAAAGCATAAAAAAAGAATGAAAAATATCTTTCTGTTTCTAGAACTTTGTAGAAAATGTTTGAAATGGGTTGGATCTCGGAAGGAAGGAGAGCATCAGCTTCAATAGAGCTTGTAGGGTGCATTCCCCCACCATTTCAGAAGAGGTTATTTCAGCCAACCTATTCTCAGGAGTGGTACTCCTTCTCTTTGGTGGGATGTACGCATCCTTTGTCTGCAGGAACAGGGGCTGACATTCCAAGAATCTCCTACCCAAAAGAAGTGCTCTATGCCTCTGTCAGTTTCCAAAAGCACCCATATTAACACTTGTTGGAATTCAGTTTATTTTTTTTTTAAGTCTGTTGTTCTGGGTGCCCGCGTGTGTAAACCTCTTTCCTACTTGGTCACAGGAGAGATAGCGCAGGATGCCGAACTGGTCCTCTTCCCTTGTCTTCACTGTCAAGGACAGCCCAAGGAAAAAGAGCGGCGGCAACCAGCTCAACCCCTTGATAGTTAACCAAGGTAGCCATGTGAGCCCGTGATCCTGGAAGCTGGAGGTCTGCAATCGGGACTGCAACGCCCTCAAAATACAAGACCATTTGTGTGTGTGCTCTCCTCCACCTTATCTCTTTTTGGCAATAAGCCATGGTGTAACCCCCTTGAGATGACAAAAGAAATAAAAGCTCAGATGTGATCAAAGGACTCATCAAGTGGCATGCTAGCATCTGAACGACAAGCAGGCTTGGCACACGGTCATGCTTTTTTTGTTAGTTTCAGTGCACGGTGTGGGCATGAAGCAATGCTAACAGTGAAGGTGAGTAGGGATGTGATGGTAGGCTCTAAAATCAGTTAGTTAGTATAGTACATTTTCATAGTTTTGAGTCCATATTTGGTCACAATTTCATGTAAACTATTTCATGGCGCTTTTTGTCCATGCAATTAACAAGCCCGAAGTCAGAAAAGAGCAAAAACTATCATTCTGTATCACTGATGTGTCCGTTTAAATACATATCTTCACATAAGATAAAGAGATACTGATTTATATTTTTTTGCAGGCTTCTCACTGGTGTCACATACTGCCCAGTTTCAGATGTAAGTGGAGAAAGGATGGACATGTGTACTACTGCAAACAGGAAGAAGCAGCTCTATGTAAACATATCTCAGACTTGTAAAATTTGCAATTCGATTTTCAGCTATAAATATAAAAAGTGGACCATTATATATACAACTTCATGCTCGGAAGGTTAGATTCATCACTGCAGAAAAACAAACAACAGAAAAGACATACGTAGAATTAGTGGTCTAGAATAAAAATCTCAAATTAACATTTATTTTAAGAAAATTGGTAGAACCCTGAGTACAGTGTTTTTTTTTTTTTTTAATTAATGAGCCAAATGATGTGTGTCCCAAATATTACTTTCCTAAAACTCCAGGGTATTATTAAAATTTCCTGGATTCAACCCACTTTTTTTTTTTTTTTTTGGCCACTGAGAAATTAGTGGCGTTTAGTAATGATTCTGGGAAAGCAGAAAATTAGGATTTTTTCACATATGTGCCATAATTAAAATACATTTCCTATACTTATATGATCTTCTCCAAACATTAAAAGCCACTGGGAAAGAGGCTGAGGATTCTGCCCTCGGTGGCACTGTTTACCTCACCCAACCTGACTGTAGTACTACTATCCTTCCGGTCTTATCTCCTCTTGGCTTTGGCTAGCCCTGCTCTGCTGCAGCCAGTGTGCCAGGTAAACCTGCCTCTTCTCAGGTCTTCAAACCCTACTGGAGACCTAAGGTGATCTAAGGTACCGTAAATCTCTGCTTGCTCATTCTGAAGTGCCATAATTATTAAGGTTTTCCTAGAATTAAAGTTAAGTCTGAGAGAACTGGGGGGCAACAGTCTTTCAGGTACACAATTACAGAGCAAGATCTTGGGGACTATGACTTTTACTCAACAAACAAAACAAAACAAAACAAACCCAATGAGAAAAGTAGAAAGCCCAGTTCATTAATTAAAAATATTTTTCTCGCTCCAAGAAAAATAGATGCTATATGAGGTGGGATTAAGAGGGTAGGTACTTTGTGATCTTTGGAGACAGAGTTTGCCCAATGTTTTTTGCATGTCATGTCAATGCCAGAGAATGTGCTTATGGAAGTATTCTTTTCCGCAAACTCTCACTTAGCTTGAAATTCAAACATATATATTTTTTGAGTACCAATGTTTTGTAAAAAAAATCTATGGAATTTTAAAGATTCTCCTTTTTTTCTTCTTTAGGATTTTAAAACTTAACTAAAAAAAAAATCTCATTTTTTGCTGCAAACCTGTCAGCCCTACCTCACAAAATAAAGTTCAGTGAAACATTAAAAAAAATAAATAAATAAATGAATAAAATATGAATAAATAAAGTAATCGATGAATAAAAATATATGAAGCCTATAGGTATTTTCCTATTATATAGTTTTTAATCTTTGGATGAGGATGGATAATTTAATAGCTTGAAAGTACTTTCTTTTTAAAAAATATTTTATTTATTTATTTGAGAGAGAGAGAGCACAAGAATGGGATGAGGGACAGAGGAGAAACAGACTCCCCACTGAGCAGGGAGATGGACACCGGGCTCGATCCCCAAACCCTGGGATCATGACTTGAGAAAAAGGCAGACACTTAAACTGACTGAGCTACCTAGGCGCCCCTGAAAGTACTTTTTTAAACATGAATTCTGCCATTTATTCACTGTACATATTATACTGTGAACTAGTAAATTATTATTCTTTGAAGTTTAGAAAACAGAGCTATATCTAGAAAGAAAAGTCATTTAAACAAACATCAGTTTGGCATGAAAAAATTAGTATTGAGAGTAGTATGGCAAAGGAGACTTGCTCATTAATCACAGTAATTTACGTTGCCACTGCATTCTAAATTTTCACACATTTATCACTGTGCTCTGGAGGCTAGTACAACAGTGTTCAAAAGGGTAATTCATGTAGAATATGGCTAACTAAAAGTAATCTGCTAGCCTTCCTTAAAAAATATTTAAAAATCACTTAAAAAATAATTTGAGATAGCTAATTTGACTATACAAGAGATTTTAGAACATTTTGTTTTTCTAATTCTTTCTTTCTTCTTTTTCTTTCCCTTTTTTTTTTTTTTTTTTTTTTTTTTGGAGTGAGGAGGTGTTGGGCCAAGCTGATCACGATTTGCATTTGTGTGTGTTGGGGAGTGTGGTAAGCAGGGCTGATGTTTTCTTATTGAGTTCTTTACATAAGAAGATGTTAGAGGGGAGCCTGGGTGGCTGAGTCAGTTAAATGTCTGACTCTTAATTTCAGCTCAGGTCATGATCTCAGGGTCATAATCTCAGGGTTGTTAGATGGAGCCCCATGTCAGGCTCTGATCTGGGCATGGAGCCTGCCTGAGATTCTTTCTCTCCCTCTCCCTCTGTCCCTCCCCCCTCTTCCCCACATGCTCTCACTGTCTCTCTCTCAAAAAAGAAGTTGTTGGATTTAAGAAATCCTTAACCCTATGTAGAACATAGTGTCTATTCCGTGGGAATATGAGTCCTTAAAAGGGCAATTTCTGATTTTCCAATGTTATTCATATTACTACTAGGTTTGGCCATTTCATGAACCAGAAAGATGAGACCTTTCTTGGTGCCATGATTACTATGCCCTCACAAAAAGGAAATGATTTAGAAGCAGCCAATAATTAAGTAAACTCAAGTTCTGAGTTCTGTCAGAAGGCTGGATAAAATAAGCCTTTCAACATTTCCCTCTATGTAAAGTGCACCTAGGACTGTATTAAAAAATCATTACAGTATTAGATTACAGGTCAACGGTTAAAGAGTAAATGGTAATTCCAGCTCAGGATGGTATTCAAGATGCTAAGAACAGGGGTTCTGAGGGTGAAAGGATACTTTCCTCAGGTGAAGAAGAATATGATGATAGGCCCACCTTCCTGAGAACCCCTTGACCCCAGCTGTGACTGAGCTAATCCTCTGACAGGCTGAGAGTGAGTATGGGGAGCTGCTAAATAAATGACACTCCCAACGGAGAGGGTTTCTTTGCTGAGTGGGGGGACTCAGCTAAGTGGGAGAGTGAGTCACACAGGATCTCCTCACCAACGAAGCTGAGGAGATAAGACACACCATGGAGTCAAGTTTCCCTTCATCTCTCTGCAATCCTAGAGTTCTGTGTAGTCATGCTAAGAAGGCATGCCTATCAAAAGTTACTCAATAAGCCAAAAGGTGTTAGAGAAAAAAACTTCAAAACGATCAGAGCAGCACGATGCTTCCCCCTAGCTCATGTTTCCATCCGTGGAATTCCTTTATCCATTAGTAGCATATATGCACAGTTCTTTATATAATTACATCCACACCATTATTGCATAAAGGGTTGGTATTCTTGGACTAGGATGGCGCCAATAGATCTCTTCCCTGCTTCAAGTCCTACCATTGCTTTCCACCGCTTGCTTCTGGTTTTGCTGGGTATTGGGTCTTGCCCCTGGAAGTTACTTAACCTCTCTGAGCTTCAGTTTCTTCATCAGTGTCATTGAGGATAATAACACCCTCCAGGGTTATTGTGAAAACTAAGTAAATGCTATCCCCTGTATGAAAGGGCTCCTCATACAGCCTTTGTACAGAGAAGACTTGCTATGAAGTTCCCTTCCATACTCAGTATGTACACAGTGACCATGGGTAGCCATATGAAGAGGCTAGAATCAATGGATATCATACAAACACCAATTTAAATATAAACAGATTCTTCTAAATAAATGATCACTGAAGGAAAAAAAAATCATGCTTACACTTTCTGCTTTCTCAGCCTTGTGATTAATATTGGCAGGGTTCTACCATGTATTTGCATGTCTGCTTACGTAATTGAGTGAAATAGAAAAAGAACCACAATTAAGAATAGTTTTAAATAGTAGGAGGAGCTTATATAAGCAAACCATTGTCAAGATGCACTGCCCCTTTCCATTCCACAGAAAGGATTAGATAGGGAAGGTTTCCGAGTTACAGTGCTTGTTAAGAACTGTTTCACTCATCAGTTTAGGAGGAAATCAGTAGTAAACATATTAATCAAAATATATTCTGGAGACAGAATCTTTTGCTTTCTAATGCCCGAACAACATTCAGGAATGTCAATTTCAAAAGACCTATTCTGAAAGGAAAAAACCAGGCCAGGGGAAGAGATAGGGGGAGTGCTTCTTTCAGAAATAATTCTGTAAAGCCTACCTTTTGCCAACAGCCAGGCATGGGTAATCCATCTGGCCCCTGTTTTAAAGAGAACAGTAAGAATTCCTCAAACTCCACAGAAGTGAACATACCTCACAATTCACATGCTCAGAAGCTTAAAATACGGATTTCTACCCACTAGGTGCCTGTGGCCATAGGCATTTTTTTCTAGTTATAGAATACCCAACATTAGGTAAAAGGAAGAAAATTCAAATGCTTTTTAGAGTGAGAACACATTTTGAAAATGTGAATAGAGAAAATAATGCCTAATTTTGAAAAAGTAATTTACAAAGCATAGAGGCCTGCTCAGCTCTACCTTTAGCTAAGCGATCTGGACTATTCCTCTTAATTTTACTAAAACCCATTTCATAATTATCTTGATTAAATAAACAAAATCAACTTCTCTTCCTTCACTGTGGTCTATGGTTGAATGCATGATAATGACGAATAATCCATGATGAACCATTTCTATCTGAAGTTTGTAGCTCTTCACATGCCAGTATCTTTTATTTTTCCATACTAAAAGCCAATATAGTAGAACGCATTCTATTAATTGAATTAAAAGACAGGCAGCACATCTATATCTTTATAGTAAGATGTTATCCATAGCATTCATCAATTTTTTAATTAAAAAGTCTTTAGAAGTCGGTTAACCAATTCTGAATCAACAAGGGATTCCTGAACATTGCACCGTTTATTTTCATTTAAAGTGCAAGCACTCTTCAGATACAAATGATAGAAGGCAGGAAGAGCCGTTATATTGAAGCATGCTTGTGTTTTCCCCTGGCAAAACGATTGTAAGGTATTTATTACTAACAACAAGCAAATAAAATAAAAGACTAGGCACCCAAATGGAGATTTTTAAATTGTAATTATTTACCAAATACATTTTTTCCTATAACCATACTCTCTTAACAGGCTTAAGAAATATAACATTATCTTTAAAAAAATCATGCTTAACACTGAAGAATAATATAAGAACATGCAGACCAAGGATAACAATCAATAAATATAAAACAACCCCCCAAATTTTCTTTTATACCTCAGAAAATATGAATATACTTTCTTTCTAAATGTAAAAAAAAAAAAAAAAAAAAACCAAACCCACTTTGAAATAGCTTTATAAGGTATCTGGGAAAAACTTGGTAATGCCAGATTGGTACAAGGAGAGGATCACCCAGTAGAATTTTAGATTTTAGTATAAGGAGGACTTTGAGTTCATGCCAATGGGGATAGGGAGTTGTGTCTACTTTAGGAAAGTGAGTTTCAAAAGGAGAGACCATTACATTGAAAAGGTTATGTGACAAAGAAGAGGGTCGGGCTGCAGACTATTACCACCATCTTTAGAAGCTCAGAGAAGTTTGATTTCCTTCCCTGTGGTCTCTTAACAGCATTCCCTTGAACTGGTTAAGTCTTGACCACAGAAGCTTAACTCTGTCCGTCTGGCCTTATTTACGGCCTGACAGAAATGCAGCGGAAGAGGCAAAATGCCTTTATTTCTCTCAGAGAAAAAGGGGAAAAAAAAAAAAAAGAGCCACATTTAGGGATAGAACCCAAAGTTATGGCCTAGCAGTCCCTTTCCACGGAAGATTTTTATGTCATTTGCATGTCCTCTGTCAGTATTTATCCAACAGGTTAATATTCCCCAGAACGCAGACATGGCAGCCCGGTGAGCTGTAAGGACAATGTCAGGAGGTTAACGGGCAGTCCTGGACGGAGAGGCGTGCCTGCTCTCCTCACTTCGCAGAGATGCCCAGCGAGCGGTTCATGCACATGCATGTAGCGTGTTTATCATGTAAAGCTTGCTCCGCAAGTACCACTTTACACTGAGAGATGAACATGTAATAAACAAAGGAAATGCATGCAGGGTGGTAGGAAAGAGAAATACTGTACCAATTGGCAAGGGGCATCCAGCCCATCCAGGCCAGGCTGGCCTGGCTCCCCTTTTTCCCCCTTAACGCCACGGAATCCCTGTTTGTAAAGATTAACTCACAATGTTACTAACACAAGAAATCACTTACGCACAAATTCTGCTCAAGAAATAACTACGATACCGAACCGCTGGGAGAGGAGCAACTCTGAAGGACAAAGTAACATGGGCTGAAGCTGGTTGAAGAGCCCGACCTAGCCCCGGAGTCGGGCTTCCCTGGGACACTGAATTTCTCTTTGGCCTGGTGTGGAGGAGCACCAACTCCCCTTCAGACGCTGCAGTCACGTCCAACTGCAGGTCTGTATCGGAATGTTAAGAAGCCAAGCACAGCTGGCGGCCAGAGACGGGGCATGGTTTATCCCGGGAAAGCCCGGGATGGATGCGTGTGGTCCCTCCCAAGCGCCTGTGCAACAGCCCGCAGCCAGAGCCCCTGCCGTTCCGGGTCCCTCCAGCGTGCTCTTCTCCCAGTGTATTCCTCCACACGCGCTATCTGGAGACAGAGTTCCAGGAGTCAGACATACCAACGGGCAAGGTGCATCTAATCCAGGAGCACCCTGTTCTCCTTTCTCCCCTTTAGGCCCCTTTTTGCCTTTCTTTCCCTTTTCCCCCTGTGGATATAAGAGTTTCAATAAAAGACAGGTTTTATTTGGGGCGGGGGGAATAATGGCGATTCAAAAAATGGTTTAGCCAATAAACGTCTGGAAGGGCATTTACCACTGTTTTCCGGTTTAGGTAAGGCATGATATTATAAAAGATAACTTAGATTTTCAGAGTGACAGTGGCTTCTGGGCAGTGATAGGTGGGATTTTACTTAAGAGGCTCAACAGGACGAAAAAAGATTTAAAAGGCCGACACATCAAGGGCTGACTTAGACCCAGCCGCCACAGTCTTGGCGAATGAGCTGTTTCCACCTTAGATCTGGTGAGGATGACAGATACCAACTGTATGGGAGGCAGCCAGTGGTCGGTCAAATGCAGAGGAATAGTGAAAACCTTACCCAGTTTTCAATACCTTGTCAGCTTACTTTTTTCTAACCCTGTAACAGATGAAAGCTACGCTGAGCCAGACGAAAAGGACAGAATATTAATAGCTTCTATCTTTTGGAAATGTATCCAATTTTATAACATTTTTGGTAGCTCTCATTAAAAAAATATTCAGTATATTGAAATATGCTTCTGTGTTTTTTTTTAAACATTTTTTTAGGAAACTAAAAGCAAATATTTTCTTTATTAAGTCAGGTAAAGAAATTTTAAAAGTGCGAATACTTCTCAGAAATGTCAGTTGGAGAAATAGACTTATTTATAAATCCAGGGATGTTCTTTAATTCACCCTTACAGATTTCATGCCAGGTGTTCACAATGGTAAATGGATTTCCAGGTTACTCACAATGTAACAAAAGCAAAAAAAAAAAAAAAAAAAAAAAAAAGTTCTGTTCAAGAGAGGAAAAGCAGTTTGGACTCAGTTGAGCTAACACTAAAAATGAGATAGGCAGGATAATTACATAGTGGGAATGTAGCCATGGAAATTAGTATTTAGGAATCACGGTAAAGGTTGTGGAAATCTGCATGGATCATGGGAATGGAGGAATTAAGGAAAGGAGGCAAAAGGAGGAGAAGGAAGGAATGCACCTCAGCTGTTTCTTATTAACATAAATATCTCTGCATATTTATAGACAAGAAGTTGGTGCTGTACAGAATACGAAATACTGTGCAATACATATTTAAATTAGTGTATTCATTCCACACTCAGGAAGGCAGTTACAATAAAAGTGAATAATTTCAGAAGCGAAACAACATGAATATTCAAATACATATACACAAGATATATATGAAATAAGCATCCAAATTAACACATTCATTCTGACTGTGTGAGTGAAAGCTCCTCATTTATCTCCTGTGTGCCAAAAAGATTGCATCAGAAGGCTCAGAATCAAAAACACTTGGGTTTCTTGAATACTGGGGAAAGAGAGAAATTCTGTGTGGTTTATTAATCATGATCAAAGACAAAGACCTGAGAATCCAGGGTGACATGAGAGCAGGTGTGATAGGAAGTAAGTGAGGAGGGGCGGTCGGGACTAAATTGCTCACTCATGCAAGATCCGTCAACATTCTCAGCAAACAACTTCAGTGTCACGACATAAAATTGATTTAAACTTGTTTGGGTGAGCTCTTCTCTCCCAGGAGACAGTGGACTCTTCGTCACATAGGTGAGACAGGTGTGTTGGGTATTGATAATTTAGAATTCAATTCATTATTTGGTAAATCAACTGAAATTAGTCACTCCGTAGAAAAGTGTTGTCATATGAATGTTGACTCAGGTTATAGGAATCATTTTTCAGTAATATGTTAGCAGACCTCAAGCTTTATGGAAAACAGACACTATTATATGAGGAATAATGAATCAGCGTTATTATGAACCAACCTCATTTTCTAATAGTCAGTGATGCCCTATGCAACACAAAAGCATCAGCCCTAGTGCGTATGAGCACATGAGGGCTCTTGTTAATTTTTATCTTCCATGTCAAAGAATGATATACATAAAGTGTTCACATTTGGATCTAATTTTCTTAAATATAAAACTTCTAATCATGGAATCTGAAATATGGAGATATTTTTGTATGAGTGATTAACATTATTCTGAAGATTAAATTTTTAGCTTTGTGTTTCCATCAGTTATAATACTGGTAATTTCATCTTTGTTTGAAAGAGCATTAAAATGAGCATCCCCATAATGGTGACATACTTCTGAGTGAATAAGATTATAGACTCCTACAACCCATTAAAAAAATGTAAAATAAATATCTATAATCTTTAAAGCACCCCCACCTTGGACTAAAAGCTTACATGTACAATTTGTCTCAAATCAAAACATGTGTATTTTACAGTTAGAATTTATAATTTGGAATAAAAAGGATTTTTTTAATGTTTCACATGCTTTGTGAAAGGGGACAGTAACAGCACCAATCTCGGGGTGGTGGGGGCTGGGGGCTACGAGGTTGGAAAGACTTAGCTCATGTAAAGCTTTTGGGGAAACATGTAGTAAGTGTTCAATAAAGGTGATGATGTTGATAATGATGATGATAGTGTTTTTACATAACTGGGGACAGAAGCTCTCTTACCAATGGGAAGCCAGGTAATGTCTAAAGTCTAAGGAACACACAGCAGGGTTAATATCCTTTCTTTGACAATTCTAATTCGGCCTTGCTTTTCAACAGCAATTGCCTTCACGGTTAAAAGGAATTTATAGGTTTTGAAAACTGTGTTGTTAAGTACAGCAGGAGGGCATAAATGAACCTGAGAAACAGAACTGGTGTCAATTTGAAGTGGGAAGGTCCAATTCCAGCCACTTTTACTTGTTTTGCTGTGTCTCATGTAAACAATGAGTCTTCAAGGACCCAAGCAAAGGGGAGAGAAAAGGAAGAAATGATTTTAAAAATTTGTAATCCAAATTTTGCTTTCAGACAAAAAAAAAAAAAAAATTTTTTTCTGGCATTGGCTGCTATATACCTGCGGCCGGTGGTCCCGAGACAGAACCTGAATGCCAGCCTCATAAAATACATGAAAATCTTCATTTAAAAATATCTCCAGCATCGAAAGTGGAAGGTCCTAGTCCCTGATAAACTCACTGGGGTTTATCAGTCACACTGCTTGCCCTCTGTTTTCCGATCAAATAGTTGGGATACAGGACACACCTTCTATGTCTCTGCTGGGAATGCCGTGCCTGAAAATGAGGCTGGCTTTACAGGGTTAGATGAGCTCTGCCAGAAGACCTTTGCAGATTTGCGCTATTTAATTTTACTTTAATGTAATAAACGCTTTTTTATTTCACTTTTGAGAATCCCTGGACATTACATCTTTCAACTAATTGGTGTCAGGTAAGCCTGGCAATATTCTTCTATGCTAGACCGTGCCCTTATTTCCAGCACTGGAACCTGTGAAGACCTGGCTTTTTTAGAACAGGCGTCACTGTGTTTTTGGAGCACAGGATGGAGAACAATTAGATACATGAAAGAATTGCATAGGTTGAACAGCAAAGCACACAGCAAGAGAAAAATCAAACAGGCACATGCTAGAATGGAGAGGTCACCTTTTCTCCCTTTTCTCCCACATCACCCTTCTCGCCTCGTGGACCAGGGAAGCCCTAGACGATAAAAAGCAAACCAAAAAGATCGATTGATGTAACTGTGGTAAAATCACATTGAAAGAAAAAACATAAGATTCCATGCTCCTGAACGCAATATGAAAAAAAATGGCACGACCAAGATTCTCAAAACTTAGTTAAAGTAGCACTTAGGAGTAATAGTTGTGTAACATCTCAGTTATCTATATGAAACACATTTCTTGCTTTTTCTCCTACGATTTATGTAGTGGAAAGTGTATTAGGATCCTACTCTGAATCCGAGCTAGGACACTGACTTATGTGGGCTTGGGCAAATCACTTACCTCATAGCATTTTATGCTTGTCCATAACAGGTGCTCAATAAAAAGTTAACTATTATTACTTTTGCTATTATCATTCTTCACATAATAAGGCTGCCATTGTATTCACACAATACAGTGATCATTTCAAGAGGCCTTTGCTTTTGACATTCTCTATTTTTTATAGAATTATGTTATTATAAAATATATAGACTCTTCATGCTAAAAGGAAAAAATATTGCACAGCAGCTTTGAGAATGAACATACTATACCATTCCCGAAGGGTGGCACGCGAAAGATACTTCAATTTTATGCATATTTTTAAATAAGTGGTTCAACTGCTGGTGTTCAAGGTGTCCCTAATTTGGGAAAGTATTTTGAAGTGCCATTATCAACTGTTGGTTATTAACTTTATACTGATTATGTGTTTTGCTTTCCTGTTTATCTCATGCAGACACTAGTGGTATATTTTCTACTGCGATCTATACACACAGCAATATACGCTGTATGCTTAACTATGTGCCCAGAAAGAAAAAAGTATTCTTGCTGTTATTGATGATGGAGACCATCCGCATCTATTGTAATAGGACGATGTTCATTGTACATGTATTACTTACATCAAGACCAGGCTCTCCATCTTTCCCCTGCCAAAGAACCATAGTAGCTACATTAGTGTTCCTAAGTTTCATGAATAGGTTACTGTTATTGTTTTATTTAAGGCTGCCTGGACATGCAACTACTAGTATTAGAACAACTACTTCAGAAATGGGAAAGAGAGTCTCTATTGATTAGTAATATAAATTTCTTTCACCGAATCAAGTGAAGTGACCGTTAATGCTGGAGTTACGGATCATGAAAATTTTTTTTATTATAGATTAGCTTACACAGCCTGCTATTTTGCTGAGGTTTAATGCTTGGCATCCAACTGACAATCCAGGAATAAGTTGAAAGCATAAGTACCATTTAGTTGATTTTAAAAACATAGTGGCGCTAATAAAATACACAAATCAATGCTCCTTCAACTTGATCAATTAATACTTGGCTCACAAATGAGTAAGGAAATGGAAAACTCTTGTTAAATATAGTTTAATTTGGCTAGATGTGTATCTTGTCTATAAATATTGAGAGTCTGTCACAATTTTTTTTAATTAACATATAATGTATTATTAGCTCCAGGGGTACAGGTCTATGAATCACCAGGTTTACACACTTCACAGCACTCACCACAGCACATGAGAGTGTGTCACAATTCAAAAACAGTTTTGAAGTAAGCTTTGTCAATAAATGATCCCCAGACGCAAAGGAGTCAGACTATTGTGCAAGGATTGATAATTTCACCCCCAGGGTGCAGATTATTGGGGCCATGGTCTTATTATGTCACACAAGGGATCCATCCAAAGTTACTGGGAAGTTGCTTTAATTTCGACAATCAGATTTTGAAATCTATTTCAAAATCAGCCTCTCTCTCAGCCAGCACTAATCCTCACTTAAGTTTATTACTTTGGTTCACGAAAACTGTCAGGTATAAAGCATGTGGTAGGTACATAGGGATTAAAAAACCTTAATACACTATGTTTCTATTATAGTCTTACCCTACCCTATTGAATGACTTATAATTACCCCAAAGATAATGTTCTGAAGCATGCCTGCACTCTCAATTTGAAGACTGTATAACCGAGACTTTCCGGAGACAGGCCACTACCAACATTCTATGTTCTAAAGCTGTCATGTCACTGCAGCAAGTTAGAAAAGTCAGAAACCTCAAAGTCATTGCAAACATCAATGTGAGAAATCACTTCTATTAGCAAGATTAGTTTTAGTAAGTTGTGAGAACAGATAAAGTCTGAAGAAAGCCGTCTGGAATAAAACTTCCATGCCCACACAGGGAGGGTGTTTTCTGACAGTGGGGATCCTGCTTTCAGGTTAATTCTGTTTATCTTGTGGACAATCTTGCTTTCAGGTTAGTTCTGTTTATCTTGTGGACAATCTCTGATCTTCTCAAGCTCACGAAGTATGTGTGTGTATGTGAGTGGGAAAATAGATGTCACTATGACCCGTGAAGGACATGATGTTGTGGATGGTCAGTGGATGGGTCTTTGCTCCTCTAACGGGATTAGTCTGCCCCACCAGGGAAGGGTTAACTGTGCTCGTGTCACGTCATCTACACATGCTGAACAGAACTCACAGGCAGACCATAGGGTCCTCTGGGTCCGGGTTCTCCCATAGCTCCTTTTTCACCCTAAAATAAAAGCCATAAAGTTCAAATCATATAAAATGCCTATATTCACACACTTTCCCTAATGTCCTGTGTATAAAAGCCTCCTTATGAGGTACCATTCTATTAAGATTCTGACGACACAGGCTCTTCTGGGGTCTCAGTCCGCTATGTGGTAAAGGAACCCATATTTGCATATTTTACCAAATTACCTCTGAAAGAAGGGCAGTAAGTAAGAATGCAGCAGCCAAGTTGCACCAAGGACTTGCATATTCTAGGGTGCTGTACTTGGGTTTCTTTAACATTCGTGGGAAACATTTGTCGCTCATTATTTTAAGTTATTACATTTTTAAAACAGAAGAATAAAATGTCTTTTTTTCCCCTCTCAAATATTTTCCTCGGCTGCCCTGGCCCTTTACCGAGATGTATTTTGCTTTAGAGCCTCCCACACCAGGAGACACAGGCGAGTTTTATTCTCCATTGAGCTCACTAGAATAGGCACACTGGGAGCCAGGACCTCTGGCTTGGCTCCCTCCCCCATCCATATGGATCACGCGAGTGTCCGGTGCATCAGGAAATATTTGTTGAATTAATCAAGTCAAAAAAGTACAATCTGGTACATGCTTTGTTTCCTTTCTGAAAGAGAGTTTAAAAACTTGTATGCCTTCTTCTAAATGCCCGAGAAGGTAGGTATATATTATTTTCATTCCTTGCTCTCCACGTGCCTATTTAAATACTCTTGCCCCCGCTCTAACAATATATGTGATAATGATGATCTTGAAGGCTTATAAAGAATAATATAGACTAGAGGTCATCCTAGGAATATGAAATAATTATAATAAAGAGATGTTCTGCATTTCAAGTTGCATTTTCTTCTGCTGTCATCTCCAAAATTAAAGAGTGTGTCAGGATTTAGGATGCTAACTTCAGGAGTAATGGAGATATTTATATGAGTGGCCGAAAAGAAAACATTACCTTCTTTTATCACACCCTTAAAGTTTATAAGGTTAGCAAATCTTTTTCCTGGCTAAAATGCGAACTTCTGCTGGTAGCTGTGTGTGGAGATCCAAGTATTATGCTGTGTGTCTCTGTGTGAGATTCCTATGTGAGCAAATTTCAAGTCACTATTTACATTCTTCTTTCTTTCTTTTTTTTTTTTTAATATTTATTTATTTATTTATTTGAAAGACAGAGATCACAAGTAGGCAGAGAGGCAGGCAGAGAGAGAGAGTGGAGGAAGCAGGCTGTCTGCCAAGCAGAGAACCCGATGCGGGGCTCAATCCCAGGACCCTGGGATCATGACCTGAGCCGAAGGCAGAGGCTTTAACCCACTGAGCCACCCAGGTGCCCCCACATTCTTCTTTCTAAACTTAGGGGTTGGTGGAAGTAATCAGCATTGTCACCTAGAGGTACATATCATGTGGAGAGAGTACTGAAAAGAAATACGATAAAAGCTCATTGAACTTCTACTCACCATTACTTTATGTTTAATATTAAAAGATCAGCAATCCTATTCAGTAAGGTGGCCAGGTTTTGAAATGAAACAGATTTAAATTTGAATTCCAATTTGATACTTACTGACTCTGTGGTCTTAGGTAACTTTCTTAACCTTTCTGCACCTGAGTTTCACTGGCTGTTAAATAAGAATAATAATACATATTCTACAAGAATTTTTCTGAAGATTAAATGTGATTGTAAAATATGAAATGGTATGCCACCAAATAATATGTCCCATAAATAGTAGCTATTGTCATTAATATACAATTAGAGGTCTTGTTTTTAAAGAAAAGGGTTTGGCAACCCATTCAAGTTAGATTTCTTTCAGTTGTATTTGGCAGTGTGATTTATGATGTTTTAAAGATTTTATTTGTTTACTTATTTTAAAGAGAGAGAGAGAGAGTGAACAGAGGGAGGGGAAGAGGGAAAGAATCTCAAGCAGGTTCCAAGCTGAGCACAGAGCCCAGCGTGGGGCTCAATCTCACAACGCTGAAACCGAGTCAGACGCTCATCCCGCTGAGCGACCCAGGTGCCCCTATTTATGATTTTTTAAATGGTGATGGTGTATATGTGTTCATGTGCAAGCGAGTGGGTGGTATGGAGAGGCTGGGGGTTAAAAGGAAAGTTCACATCACCTGGAGTAGGTCTACTTGGAAAAATTTCCACAGATTTTTTTGGATATACCTATTCCCTTCTCCTTCCTCTGACTGAGTACTCTCAGTTTATTGTGTTTTTAAAATGCATATACCATGGCTTGTTTGAATTAAACTGTCAGTAAAACATTTGTCTGCTGGATCTCCTCTTACAGAAATGCTCACCCCAAAAAATTGCTTTAAGGTAATGACAATTCCATTGCACTTGCCAGTGAATGCTTCAGAAGTGGACACATGCTCTGATTCTGGCCAGTGAGGTGCTGGGGGAAATCTTAGGGGAAGCGATGGGGAAGGTTTGCTCGCTGCTAAGGAAGAGACACGGGAGGAAATGATGTCTCTTGGTTCTCTGCGGATGCCTCACTGGAGGGAAGGTATGTAGGGACTGTGACCAGCTTGCTTGTGATCAGAAGACCAAGCTAGCTTGTGGAAAGGGAACAGAAGCCAAGCCAAGAGTCTCTCCTTTCAATATGTTGTTACATAAAACAACAAATTTTTCTACTGCTTAAGCCATTTTGAGTTGCGATTCTGTCACTTAGAGTCAAATGTATCTTAATCGTCCTAGCTTGAAAACTTTTGATTTGAATATGAAATATGAAGTGAAATAGGGATTTACAATTCCTCTCCTAGATTAAATAATTGTTAAAAACTTTGAACCTCTCAAATTTAACACCCTTCACAGAGCTCCTAAGCATTACAAGGCCCGATGAAGAAATCAGCTCAAGGCAGGGAGACCAACAGGGCTCACGCTGTCACTCATGTATTTGACATTTCTGAATGACACTGTCTGTGGAAGGCCTGGTTTCTTTTAGGCCCATCTCATTTCTTTCAGGGTCTTTAATTTGCACGTCTACACTGAGGAATTCTTCCAGAATGGATTCCTGATTCCTCCCTCTTAAAACTGCAAACTTTTCCAGGAGAGTCTAGATAGCACCTCAGTCAATTAACGTCAAGAATTGCACTCGTGTAGCACTTTGGGTGAGGGGCACTTGGAGAGTCCTGACACATGATCCGGTTGAGATAGTTAACGTGCTGAGTAAATACAACTGTAACACTTTAAACTGCACACCATTTGACTTGAACTATGTCTTCAAAAATTCTTAGCGATTTCATTTGCTCTGCTGGTTAATTCTGCCCCAGCGCCGAGACCTGATACTCTTGTGACACTGGGGAGCTATCGGAAGTAGCAGCTGATTTACCAAACGGTAAACCCTCTTGAGCCCCCAGGGCATCCTGCCAAAAGACTACTTGAGATTTGCTGCTCCATTTTTAGTACGTGGGCTGGATCTCTTGATACAGTGCTTGAATGCATCAGCAGCATGAGGCTCTCCGCTTACAAATATTTTTAATTAAGATGGTCTTCATAAGTCAGTTTGATTTTAGAGATAAGACAATTGCAGATTCCGGTGATTATTCTGTGAGGACTCACCTCTTTCTAGAAGCATTCTTGGATAAAGCCAGACTTCCTCATCGTTGTACGTACAGTCTGTACTACTTGGATTCACTTTGGTTATCTGGCTATTTCTTGCTGATTATTTTTTTTTCCTGCTGCATTTAGATTGTAAACTACGCTAGGTCAGAGAAAAGAGCTGCTTCCTTTACAGTACTGAGTAAATCCATATAGTGTATTAGTAAGAGGTTATGGGATGACGAATCAATTTTAACGGCAGTACTCAACTCACGGCATCAAATTAGCAAAACAGACTACACAAATGGGAGGAGAGTGCTTCCATTTCACACTAGGAGTACACTGTGTTTTCTAGATCATAAAATGTAACAAATATTTACTGAATGAATGAATTCATTTTATAGAACACTGAATTAGGGAATTGGGATGGAGGCCAAAGAAATCACTCTGTGGCCCTCTATTTTTTTGAGCAAATTACCCCAGACTGAAGAAACTCTATCTAGTTTTAAAAGACCGCAGCCTGCACAATGAATCATCCCAACATTTCGAAGCCCTTATTCTTAGGATACTTTCTTTACAGCCTCTCCTGGATGGTGGGGAAATTGATGACACAATTCTGCTCAGACACAGAAAAAAAAACTTCCAAGTTTCCCAAAGCGGAGAAAAGAAAAAGTGGGAGAAAAACAGAGAAAGAGGGGAGAAAAGTTCCAGACAGATGACCAGCTGCTGAGGCTCAATGTATTTTTTGGTGTAGGTATTCATCTTCTGTTCTAAAGGTTTTTTTTTTTTTTTTTTCCTTTTCTCCCAAGGGTATGGAAACAGGGCCTAGCAATAGGGAGGTTAGTGAAAGGTTTTTGTTCTATAGTGCACTGAAATTATTTCCTTATGGCTAAAGAAAGGCAGCCTATTCTTTTGCTTAAAAAAAAAATAAATAAATAAATAAATAAATAAATAAAAGAGCACGTGTAACTGTGGAGAAGAATACTTAGGTTTGGTAATTTCCTTTAAAAAAAAAAAGGTTGTAACTTACTCTGAATGAATACAGTAGCTTTATATAAAAGATCATCGACAAAATATGAAGTCCTGGAGATTTTAGCCCCATGGACTTCAACTTTCTGGATTAAGGCCAAATGAAAATACCTTCCTTATGGGTTAAAAAGGAATGGTCTGAGCTATTTATTTGAGCTATGTAGATGTATGCATGATTTTTGAGTAAGGCAGCCACATTCTATTTTAATACCCTGTTGTTCTCTCAGTGTGAGAACTCTGATTAGGACTTAAGATGTTTTCATTTAATATTTTATTTTCATTTAATATTTTCATTTAATATTTTATTAAATGATTAATATTTTATTAAATAATATTTATTAAATATTTTCATTTAATATTTTAGACAGTCCTTTATTTCTTCTGGGAAATGAACAGTTCAGTTTAACTAACACAGAAAAGCCACACTGGGTTTTCTTTAGGTCACCGTTCAATAACCTCAGAAGCAACTTACTCTTTCTCCTTTGGGACCTGCGGGGCCATGGGGTCCCATAGGGCCATCTGTACCCTAAAAAAAGAAAGATAAAAATAATATGAGACATATCCCAAGGGCCCTAAGGAAAGCAGTTATAACTCATCCTGGACTTTTCCTGGGTGAATGATGCTTTAGAACGCCAGTAAGATGATTCGTCTCCTTTCAAAGAGCTTTATGTCTGATTCAGGCCAGCGATTTTCAAGAAACGCGTGCAAAAACGATGAGTTACATAACTGCGTATTTCAACGAAGGGCACACACGAGAAGCTGGAAATCATATTTAATTATATACTTCCTCCCTGACTTCACGGAACATCTTCAGGAGAGAAATGGGTTGTTTCCCCTCCTACCACTTCTCCAAGTCCATCCTCCACCTGCTGTCACCCCCAAGCTCCTGGGCCACGAAGCCTTGTTCTCAGCTGGTTAAGAGGCTCGAACAGTTACACAAGGGGAAAAAATTATGAAATAAATGAGAACAGTGTTGAACTGTTCAAACCAAACTTTCTTTGGCTCTGCGGGGAGCAGCGGGGGGGCTTAGAGGAAAGGAGTTACTCTCCCAGGGTCTGCGGCTGCTTACAAGGCACAAAGCCGGCGGCCGGCTGATTTAATGGCGTAATTGCCCTCTGGCCTCCTGGTTCAGGATTAGGATTTCTGTCTCAGATTGAATGGATACAGGAACACTATGTCCAGTGAAAACAATGACTGCCTGAAGCACGTTTTTAGAATTGAAGAGCTTGGAATTTCCTTTTAATTCTTAGACATGTAGCAAGGACTTCAAGTAATTTGCTCATTTTCAGGAAGACTGCACCTCTTTGCAAAGAATTTGTTGCAGTATTTGCAAATGTAGGAACTAGTCCAGCACAGGTTTATAAAATAGTATTCTTATTTGTGTTCTACTGTTCTTTTTTCTTCTGTCGGGCCTTTGCGATATTAAATCATTTAGGGCTTCGACTCATTCTGATGTTGGGGAATTCCCATCATCTTATCTAATCTTTTCCTTACTGCCTGAACTCGAAGTTCCATCTTCAGAAGACTTCTAAATACTGATTATCTGTGGCTGAAATTTAAGAGACAGAGCAGTTAAGAACCAAAGAAAAGAGACAAAATGACAGAAAACAGGTTATTTTGATGAACCGAGATTTGAAAGTTAGTGTCAAGGAAGAAGTTACCTTTTTAATATGGACAGAAACATAAAAGGAAGAACAAGTTCAACTGAATTCACATTATTTTGATCTCTTCAGAGGAGCCTGCCTACGGAATTATAGGAAATGTCCATTAGTTCTGGAAAAATTTGTCTGGGATTCTAAGACCGTGAGGCTAATCAGACTGGTCATTCTTGCCACCTAGCAAGTTCTCCAGCCTGGAACTCAGGCTTCCGAAGGCTGTCCTGCAGTTTAAAAGCTGTGAGTGGATCAGAGCTGCAGACTCTGCTCTGCCCACCTTTCCCTTTTGTACCACATCTTTGTACACTTTCTCCTTTCACTCCAGTCTATGTCCCCCTCATCACGTGACGGGAGTACCTGGGGCAAAAGAGTCTGTCCTGAAGCACAAATTCATAGCCACACAACAGGTTGGAGCAAGATGAGGTACTGACTCACCCGGGATCCTGGCTTTCCGTCTAAGCCAGATGCTCCCTGTGTATTTGGTTGGTAGCAGGTTTGGTGGGTATAACACGAAGGACAAGAACAGAGATTAGTATGAGGTACTGATGAACAAATGTAACGCTTCAAACAACATCATACACAGTCATGGGGTTCTGGGATGACTGTCACATTGCTACAAATTGTTAGTTAAAAAAAAAAAAAAAAAAAAAAACACGTGACGATAAACACCCCGCAGATGATGGCATTTTCATGACATTTCCATTCAAAAAATTCTTATTTAGAAATAATGAGGTTTATAAAGAGGGCTTTAAAGTAGTTTCTGGTAACATTCACAGACCGCTAATTTCCATTTGATACACATTTTCTAAGGACTGTACTGTCGATAATGAACTTCTTAAATTTCGAGAAAATATAATGGCCAATATTCTAAAAAAAGGGCTCATTATAATAATCAATCAGAGTTAGCGTTTCTGAAAGGAATAAAAAGGTTCCAGTTTTTCTTGTTAAAACAGAACTTATGAAAAACAAATGCAGAACTTCACCATGCCAAAATGACTGGATTTTACATGAACAATTCTCATTGTTTTCTGCGTTTTCTTACTTTGTTCACATTAATTACCACTAGAGGGACTTCTAGGAACAGGAAAAAGCTGGAAAAAATTTCATGAGTCCAAACAAAAAATAACCGTCCTAAACAAAATTGTTCCTCAATTCAGTTCAAAAAATCATTGCATCAAAGTCTGGAGGTGAGATGCTTTAAAAATATGTTATTCTCAGGCAATGCATACTTTTTTTTTTTTAAACCCTAAACTCCAAGCTATGCATAGTATATGATTAAAATATGACATTTTCAATGCTTGTTTCAAGAATAAGCACAATTACTTCTATGAATATGTCTTTTGTATCTCAAAACTCAAATACTGATTTATAGTCCTTTAAAAATATTGATTAAATAAAGGAGTATTTAAGAAAGATGATACACTAGTCCTATAAATTCTCTTGGCAAGGTTGAAGAACTAGGTTCCCACTTTATGCTTCAGATACAGTTAATGATAAAAAATGGAAGAAAAAATCTATTCCAGCTGCAAACTCTACCAAAAATGCTATACTATATATACTTGGATATTTTTAGTTTTTTGTTTTACAATTTCTTCTATATAGTTCTATTGTGAGTCAGACTATATTGCAAAATGCATCTTAAGTTGGCAATGATTAAAAATTTTTTAAAAACCTGTGTTGTTGTTTAATGCTAACATATGTAGAGCTTTTGGCTAATTACTGCATAGAAATTATCACTAGCTCTAAATTTGAAATTAAGGCAAACTTTAAAGAAATAAGATAGAGGGTTTAATAAAACAAATTCAAACTTTCTTTTGTCCTTTGATACTTTGTTCAGAGTCACCATTATTGTAACATTTGAAAACAAATAGGGAGATGGTAAAATTTTGTACTGATAGTATAACATCATATTTGCCTGGAATAAGAGAATTAATATATTATTATATCATATATACATTTATATATAATTAATATATTATAGAAGTTTTGTGCCTCTAGTCCATGGTCTAATTGGTGTGATTGAACCTATACTCTAATACATCTTGTATCATTCATTCATAAACAAGCACATTTTGAATATCTACTATGTGCCAGATCTGTGTAAGGCACTGGCTATCTAGAACACTTCAGAACTTCAAGTACCAAAATGTTTTAATCTTTTAAAATATGTGAATAAGTTATTTTCTACCAATTTTATGTCTTACTTTAATAAAATAATCTATAATATTCTTTACTGACTTTTATCTGCATTCACTGAATAGTCAGCATGTTAATACCCTGAAACTAAAACCTTATATTTTACTATCATTTTTAAAAATCTCTTTTTAGTTGTGAGAAGAAGACTGGCATAAAATACATGGAAGATGAAAATTCCCTTTTCACTAAAAATAAAAATCTCAAAAAAAATCTCAAAAAAATTGTCTCGAAGCTACTGCAAAATACTTCTTCCATCCTGTCCACTGTTGCCAAAAGAACCATATAAGAGGGCATTTTCAAAACAAACAACACAAAACATTTAGACTATGATATGATTGATTAATGTAAGGAGCCACAGCACTGACCCACACCATCAGCAATGGCCAATTGCATACCTGCCACCCAACAGAGGGCTACAATTTTTGGTATCAAAAGAGAAAAAAAAATTGAGGGAGGATTCTGACCTGCACTAAATTATTAAAACATTTGGGAGAAATTATGACATAATTAGCACAATGCTTTTTTTTTTTAAGGGCAAGGTGAGGGGAGAAGAATCATCCGTCTTTAAAGAGGAAGGTTGGCATGTATGTAATTGAATGACAGAACACTAAGAGCGTCGTTTGTCATGGGGTCTTCCTCTGACACGAGAAGCAGTCCTCAAACAAAACTGGTCTGAGCTCTGCTCCAATAGAATACATTTTCCAATCACAGAAATCTCAAATGTAAGATAGTCACCGAGTAAACCAGAGTTGTTACTTAAGGTAGAAAGAAAAGTCTGAGATTTGCACTGAAATGGAAAGTTTTCTTTACTTACTGGAAGACCAAGGGGTCCTCTGTCACCCTTTTGACCTGGTTCACCCTTCAATCCTTTAACACCATTTAACCCTGGTTCACCCTAAATGCAAAAGCAAATGCCAATTTTGGTTGCTATCACGGGTGTTTCAACTGCTGAGAGAAGAGAGCCAGTCTCCGAAATGGTTGCAGATTCCAGTTCTAGGTAACAGCAGAGTCAAGCTAGACTTGTCTTGCATCCGTCCAAAATTCATTTCAGACATTTTAAAAAATTAATAAACTGAAATTGACAAATAACATTCTAGGAAGCAAAACTCCTGAGCAGGCGTACTCCTTCTGACTGAAACGCGTACGCCTGAGTTCCAGTTTTCAGTTCTACGTCAGAGAACCTAGTGTTATGCTACCTTGTTCTCACCAAGCAAATCAAAGACAGAGTGGAGGATGCCGAAGGAAGCTCAGTAGGAAAAAGCCACTCTGCTGGAATGAAAAACTGGAATATGCAGGACAGTGTTATATACAGATATTTTAAGCCTTTAAGCATTTTGCCCTGGGGAATGAGCTAAAAATGTAGCAGCTGATGTTTGAAGTAGTGCCATTTAGTGAGTCCTCATTCACTGACATTGCCAAGTCAGATCCCTACATGGATTAATTCACAGAATAGACAACTGATAGCCAATCCCAGAAGAGAATATGAAGACCACAGTGCTTACATGTAGTTTTATTGTTTGCCTATCCAATGTTAAAGTTAAAGAAGGATGGATTTTAACCTCAGGTGACATTACAAAAGTCATGGCGAGTGACAGTTTCTCCTGACTCTGATATTTAAAAACCTAAAAATACAGTATAACTATTTTCTATCAGCAGCACCATTTTAGAAATAAGAGTTCTGACCTGCTAACTTGTCAACTTTTAAGTAAAGGCATTAATTTCATCACAAAAATCTGGAAAGATTTGTGAAAGGAAGATGCAGTCTCCAGTGCCCTATAGAGTCTTACTGGGTAGGAGCGGGAGTGGGGAGAGAACATGCTTACATGGCAGGAGGAATTACTAACTTGGGTAGTATTTTCTCCATTTGTCTAATTGATGAAAGTCAGTGTGATGTTTGTTAAACATTGAGTCCAAGGCCCCACTTAGCGTTTAAACTTCCAAAGAGGTCACAAAGTAATGAACACATTGACATGACCTATTGGATTCTGGGGATTCGGAAGGTAGGATGTTTGAACTATAGGAAGTTCAAATGTGCTGTGGTGGGTAAAGTGTGATCCTGCAACTGTCCCAGAGCCAAAGTCAATGTGAGGTTAAGGCCAAGGCTCTAGGAGTCAGATTTAGTTAACTGGTCTCAACTTGAGGTTGATGGCTTTGCATGTATGTGGACTTTTAGCTAGAGGTCTTGGGATGATGACTAGGCAGAGCTGCCTTGGTAGGCCACAAAATTCTGTGGTGAGGAATCAGACATTGACATGAGTGGGCATTAACCAAAAAAGTGAATTTATACACAATCAAATGTAGAGACAGAAAGACAAAATTCCAACTCTGGACTTAAGTTCTAGTTCCAGATCAGTCATTTAATTAGCAGTGTAACTCAGGGCAAACAATGTAAATTTCATGGGCCCATAGTTTATCATCTGTAAAATCAAGGAATAAGCACAGGTAATCTACAAGGTCTTTTCAACTTTATAATTTTGTGAAATTTATGATTTAAATGGTGCCTTGAAATCCAACGAGAAGCCCAGAGTAACTACTGATTTAGTCCAGAGTGGGAAAAGAGACCCAGAGATGTTTAGATAACTACCAAGATCTCAAAGATGATAGATGGGCTCTCTCTTCTGACCCCCAGAAAACAATGTCCTTACTCCAAACTATAACCCATACTTCTGAGACACTGTCATTCACTGGTCTTACCAGAAGATAGGGTGGTCTAGAAGAATAAAGAGGCATGAACTCTTTCCATTCTTGAGTGAGTCACCTGTCTGACCCCAAAAATGAAACTTAGGTTTCATTTCAGACCAATACTTCTACACTCCTAAAGTTTGGTGGGCCAGGAGGAGCCCCTAGAGGAGAGGGTGGACTGCCTCTAAGCTTTCTGATTTCTAGCTCTTGCATTTATGTGTTCCCCTACCCCTCACCATTTAAATGCCTCCTCACTACTGAGGAGCTTTCAAGAGTGCTTAAACCTTCTCTCATGCTTTCTCCCCACTAAATGCTTAAATTTAGAACAAAGCATCAAATCGGAAGACACTAACAACTGACATTTACTGGGTATTCATCGACAATTGCATCAGATATTTTGCTAAGTCTCTTACAAATATGCCTCATTAAATTATCACAACACTAAGAGGAAAATTGCCTAGTTCAGTGAGTGAAGAGAGGATAAGTAGTCTGCCTAAGGTGACACAGACGGTCAGTGGCAAAGCTGAAATTAGAACATAGGTACTAACTACATAGGCTCCCTGAAGGAAGGAACCTTTCTTTCAGGGCTCTTATTAATCCTCCAAAATGTCCTCTTGGTCTACACAAAAGCAACGAACAGGTGCAAACCATCTTTCCAACATAAACTGCACTAATTCTGACAAGGAGGGGTATTCTCTATTGTTCTCTTGTTAATCCAGAGTATAGAGTACATGGTAAGTGATGTAATCTTCTCTTGACTAGAGCACACCTGATACACCCCACCCCATTCTAAACCAGTGATCTCTGGGGGAGTACAAAATTAAGATGTTGGGTAGTCAAAGCATTTAGCTACAGTGCTGTTATATGACAAACAAGGAGTATCAGTAACATCTGAATCTGCAACTAATGAGACATCATAAGAAAGAGCATCTGGACTAGTCTGAGAATCTCATCAGGTCCATTTCTAAAGGGTTGATTTTGAGTATATTATGATTAGTAACTTAAGAAACCTATATAGTATAATGGAAAAAGGCAAAATGAGGAATAATTCATCTGCAGGTGATATCACTTAAATTTGTTTTAAGTCATTCTGCGTTGTGAGATTTAAACATCTGGATACTTAAAGGCTTAAAGATTATCAACATTACTTGACAGATAAATAAGACAGGACAGACATGCTTCCGTCATGCTTCTCCATGATTAACAAGGAAACAGAAATCAAATAATCAAGGGATTTTTTGGATTACCTTTGGTCCAGGAAGTCCATGGGGTCCCTGAAAAAGAAAAACACAGATTTTAATTAAGAATTGATTCACTATTTCCTAGCAGAAGTGATTATTGTATAGAGTAACCAAAGAGATGTAAAACAAGAATCCTCCTGTTTGAGCTATAGCTAGAGGCAGGACAGTGGATGCTAATACATAGTGAAAGTTCCTTCTAGCTCTTGAATTGTTCTGTAATTGGAAATTCATTAACAGCAATTCTTTCTGCTAAATACCCGTGGGAGGGAGGGAGGAATCTGCTAGGGTTAGATGGAAGAAAAAAAATTTTAAATGTATTGTGAACCTACACTATACCTAGTTCTCAAATCCACATTTTAATAAAATCTAGGTGGAAAAATGTGAAACACGTTATAAGTTTATATGGAATAGAGGTGGGTTTTAAAATACAGAAATTTGCCAAAGAAAAGTTCCAGATTTTAAGTACCAGTGAATAGAAGACCTTTGAATTATTGAGTCCTCTAGACCCAAGAGGAATCTAAAAGAAGAAGGAATGAGGAGATGACAGTCAAGTTTGGAACCCTGTTATAATTTAATTAAAATTAATTTAAGACTAAGCAAAGGATTCTAATACAGATGCACTAAGAATTATTAGTTAGAATGCATTTGTTCTTACAAAGATGAATTCTTCAAGGCTCTCGTAACTGTTGTTTACCAATAGAAAGAAGTTATACTGCATACATGAATCAGGGCTTTCCCCCTGTATTTTGTGGAAAATCTAACTATAGAGACTAATTTCTAACCTAAATTACCTAAACTGTACTGTGGATTGCTTTACACTTCTCAAGTGATTTAAATGAACTCTTTGGAGAGAGGAGTATTTAAATACCCAACAGCAAAATCATACAACAGTGTGAAAAAGATTTTTATCATGCAATATACAGATATTTGTTACATATGTCTACTTAGAAAAATATTTTCCTTTTAGGTTAGTGATGGATAAGCATTTTCAGGAAATGGCTGCTACTTTATCAAGTAGTCTTATTTTAGTAATGGTATAAAATCCCTTTAAGCTAATTAAGTTTATATGAACAGAAAATAGCATTTTAAAATTTAATTTTCTAACTTAAAATGGAGGGAGTATTTACAAAGCCCAAAGTGTGCCATTTGCTTAATTCTTAAAGAACTGTTTAGTTTTAAGAAAATAAGGTTAATTATAACTATTTTGCGGTATGAAATGGAAATGGCAGTTGGTAAGAAATAGATGATTGGGTCTATGGCTACGCTTTGTGGCTTAGATCATTTCAGTGACATTCTTTCTTAGAGCACAATAGGAGGGAAGAGTGACCCATGGTTTATTTAATCTGTATGATTGAAGACATGGGGTTTATTGAGAAACCGTAGAGATGAATGTGACCTTAGAGCCTGCCTAACTTGTTGGAGTCCTGCCACCGTCAAAGGCATTTGAAGCATGCTACATTCTACGTTCTAGCCTTAACACTAGTGCCGTTAAGTGGACATTTTAAGAATTACACTGGTTTAATGGCTGCCTTCAGCACCAGACGTGAGTTCGATGAGGGCATGGCCATTGACTTCATTGGTCATTGAGGGATAGCTGTGGTGAACACTGGATCCACCAGAGCACCATAAAGATGAAAAGAGAAACAAGCAACAATACATGTCATCTGTGGAAGTGGGCTTCAATTTTTACCTTATTATTTTATAAATGTTCCTATTAAACATCTCATTAAAGGATTTCAACCAAGGTTGGTTAGACACATTCATGAATGGCTACAATTATTAAACTTGTTATACTACTAATGGCCTAAACACTGGCTGGTTAAGATGATTTTTTGATGTTCATACTGCAGGTTGGAGTAAAGCTTGTTAAATCTATCTTCAAGTTTCCTGTCACAAAGCTACTCTATCTCTTCTCAAGAGATGTGTTTGGGATAGTGAAAGACAACACTATAAAGTCAGTAACTCTCAATGCACGTTATATTTTCTGTCCATTCCACAGAGAGTAGCACAAAATACAAACTGGCTATTTTGAGGGATGTGTTCATGTTTTTTTTCTAGTAGCATGCTTGTAAATAAAATAAATAAATACATTTTGAAGAGAAAAAAGGCTTACCATGGGGCCTGGTGGGCCATGGGGGCCTGGGGGGCCTGGTGGACCTATGATCTGTATGTCCAAAACATAAACATGGATTTGGTTACTTCATTTAGATAAGGCAGTTTGGCTTGAATCTTAGGCTGGGGTTCTGCTAAGGCCATTAGTAGTTGCTGTGGAACAATACTAGAAGAAGTGATGCAATTGAGTCTTTATGTTTAGAAATTCATTAATGAGAATTTAAAAAAAAACACTAAAAAATACAGTTGTTTTACAAAAGCCGGGATAAATTTAAAGTACATTAAATGAAAAGACAACAACTGCTTACCAAGAAATGCTATAACACCACTACCACTATTAAACTCTCAAATTATTTCACCGAATAGCAACAGAGCTCTGGAGGAAACAAAAAAGTATGTTCTGTATTCACAAATCTCTACCCAAAAGCTTGATGGGAAAACCATTAATTTTCCCCTTAGGATTAGAGGGTCCCCTAAAAAATCTGCCTTTATCTCAAATCTCTGAGATACTTTATCTCTCATTATACAAGGCCGACAGATACACTCTCTACAGTTTGACAAACTAAGAGGTTCACGGTCTTTTTACTGTTAATAAGCCATCTGGCACAGGTCGAACTGGGCAAATAATAGGCCTGTTTCAGAAGTTCAACTGCCAAGGACTTACAGAAGGACCCTGAGGACCTGGCAATCCGGAGTCTCCTTTTTCTCCTTTCATTCCATTGGCACCCTACAAAAAACCAGTGAGAGTTGAGCCAGTAAACTTTTCCCAAAGTGTAAGAAACATCTGAATTTTCTCCCCAGACCCACCATTCTTTTGCAATTTTTATAATATTATACACATCACATATAAAAGAAGGATTTATCCCTCTGCATTTTAGTCTCAAACAGCAAGCCTCTCCAAATCTCTAGGATTGTGGGTGATATGTGAAATAAAATATAAAGTAAATAAAAACTAGGTTAGGCTTGATAGGTTAAACTTATACATTGTTAAATATACCAGATTATAAATGTCATATTTTTTATGGTGGTGCTCACTTTAAATAGCAAGTTTTTAAACTTGGTTTTCATTGACATTTATTTATATACTTCCTTGTTTTAAAATAGATCTAGGGCAGTGCAATTTTCTACATTTTTTTCTATTTTGCCTTCCAAATTCTTAGTAAAAATTATAGGGTAAAACCATAAAAACACCATTCCACACACACAAAGAGAGCACTTTCAAGAGTAACTTCTTTCTAAATTGTCTTATGTTTTTTAGCTTGTTAATTTTAATTATTACAGTTTATTTTAAAATGACCAGTTACCATCATTTTACACATACCAAATTCAAGTGATCAACTATTATTTTACTATCTTTTGATGAAAATAATTCAGGAAAACATGACAGTTTATTTTATAATTCATTTGGTTAGATGCTTTAAAACTTGTTTTAGTGGCCCAGTTGGAGAATAAACCAACAATACCTCAAATATATAAAAGTAAAAATATTACTTTTTTATATAATATTAACCACTAGATGAGAGTGCAGCTAATTATATAACTCCTTTCTGATTAATTTATCTTGATATGAACACACCCTAAAAGGTATAAACATACCGGTAATCCAGGAAGTCCGATTCCTCCTTTTTCACCTGGCATACCTGGGTCCCCCATGTCTCCCTTTGAGCCTTTAAGTCCCTACAAATGATATGGTTGCATGTAAGAATCATATTAACCCTTGATAGTAACATTCTAGGGCAAACAGAATTCCAGATCAGTTTTGTGTGCGGGTGGTCCTATCCGGAGAGGATTCTGATTTTCACTGTTAGGTAGAGTTATTTCTTAAAGCAACCTTCTACACTGAGTCAATACTATTTCCTCATGTAATGAAAGGGGTTAAATTCTACTACTTAGCTCATTTAATCACAAACTTAGGTGTTTACATAATTTCTCCTGATTCTATATTTTTTTCCTGGCAGCTAAGTTGATACCACTGGTCCTGAAAACAATTTAAGGGATTGAATTCTCAGCAGTACAATATACATTTTGAACCAGGACTAATGTTATAATAACAAGAGGTTCAGATAAATTTCTCCTATCTCTACCCATGATACTCCCCTCCCCCTCTTAAAAGCATGTGGAAGCTCTGGTCACCATCAGTTTCAAGGGTTCGATAGAGAGAAAGGTAAATAATGTAGGCACCAATCATTAGGTGCCTAGTCATTAGGCACCAGTGCTCAACTAAGCTTAGAATCACTTTAATTGTTCCACAGTGTTCTTATTTTATTCTCAAACACCCCATGAGGTGATCGATGATGTTATTTTTATTCTTTTACAGTGAGGAAGTAAATAAATGTATTTTTTTAGTGCTAGCAAATCTCAATTTTGTAATAATACTGAAGTTAATTTATATTGTTTTTATATATATTTATATTGTTTATATATATATTTATATATAATTTATATATAAATATATATATTATATATAATTATATATTTATATATAAATATATATAATATATATTTATATTTATATATAATTTATATTGTTAAGCATTTTTATGCAAGGAGCTTCACTACCGTACGACCACATGGCCCATTCTTGAGCAGGGATGATCATAGTTCTGATAGTCAGGGGCCCCTGGCTGCCCAAACCTGTTCAACTTTTCCATACTACAAACTACTTAGGGACAGGAACATGTCTTTTCTTGACTTATACCTACAGCACTTAGTTCAGAATCACTTGCTAGGTGGGTGGGTAGGCGCCCGAATGGGTAGATGGATCTTACTGGTTAATCAGCACCTGGCTGGTTTTAGGAATCTAGTGATGGAGAGTAGCAGGGCAGCCAATCTCTGCTATTGGACTTAAAAGCCTATAGAAAAAAAAAACAACCCAACTATTGTATATGTAGGGACCATGTAATATGTTATTCTGCATGTTAAATTAATTATTTTTAATAACTAACATTGGGAAAGGTAATACAACTAGATTTTTTAAAAAGATTTATTTATTTATTTTGAGAGAGAGACAGAGAGAGTGTATGAATGGGAGGGGTATGGCAGGGGGCGGGGTGGGGCAGAGAAAATCCCAAGCAGACTCCCAGCTGAGTGCAGAACTCAGTGCAAGGCTCTATCTTAGGACCCTAAAAATCATGACTTGAGCTGAAAACAAGAGCAAGATGTTTAACCAACTGTGCCCCCCAGGTACCCCAGGACAACCAGATTTTTAAATTCTAATATGATTTCTGATTAATAATAGCAAATCATCTAAAGCCTCTTACTTTTTAAATTATCACATTTATTTAATGTGACATTAGAGGATTTGCAACATACCACTCTGATATTAAAATAACTTTTCTCTTAAACTTAATTTCTTATCTAATACTATTTCCCAAGGAGCATATTTTGCCAACTGTATCAAGAATCTTTTTGATTTCTTATGATCTTCTTGATGTCAGCCATTTCTCGTGTAAATAATGGAAGCCCAGAAAACATCAAATGTCTTGAAGCTAACCATTGTGATTTGACTCTGAATTCCCCATAATGTTCACATTATCCTCGTCAGATTCTTTTTGGTCAGAGGTAAACCACAGTTTCTAGGCCAAATTCAGCCCAGGGATTATTTTTGCACAGACTGAATCTTTGAAAAAAATTTAAGGTGTGTTCGGGTAAAAAACAAACGTGACAAAGACTCTGTGTGACCTGCAAAGCCTGAAACACTTACTATCTGTCCTTTACAGAAAAAGTTTGCCAACCTCTGTGTTGAGGGAAACCCTTGGAGATACTGCCGTTTTCTGTGAAGGTACAAACGCCCCACCTGTTTCTGTTTTTTTCTAACGATCTTGAAATTTAGGCGTAACCTTTATTTGGGAAAAAAATCTTGTCAAAATAACACATATAAGCAATATCTAATTTTGTGGAAACTTTGACCGACTGATTTTAATCTTGAATGATTTGTATTTATTGACAAAATTAGCCTACTCTTACTAAATTAGTAATGATCTTATAAGTCTAATAAAAATTTACTGAAGTGTCACTGGTAGATTGATAAGGAGTATTAAGACAAAACTAAAATGTCATACCACTTACATGTTTCTGCAAAGAAAACTAATGTCTAATTTAAAAGCAATTGCTTTTTAAAGTTAATATAATCTCTACAACAGATGGTAAAAAAATAGAGAGGATATCCTATATCAACACTCATGTCTTTTTGGCTCCAATCTATAATAAAACTGGTGATCAATTATGATGTTTGAATGACAGTATATATCTTTGAAAATTACCTGCTCTCCATCAACTCCTGGGATTCCTGGAGATCCTGGCTCTCCCTGTTAAGAGAAAAAGTGATGGCTTGATTCCATTTATCATTGGTAAATAGAAGTCATGTTAGCTGGTGACAGTACAATCTGACTTTCAGCGTATGAATCGTAACCCAAGAACAGTTTGTTATATCATACACATATCAAAACTAAGTGAAGTAACATTTTCTTGAAGATTATATGTAACAATAGTCATGTAGCTCAGATCCAATTTTTTATTTTTTGCCCCAAGTGAGATGTAGGCTAAAGGAAAAAATGGTGAAAGAAAACTGATAGAGATCATTTAGTGGTTGACCATATTCTATAACAAAAACCTATATGCTTAGTTAATTTTTTCCTCCCTAAAAAATCTGTATGATTTCTCTTCATTTTCCAACTTCAGAAAAAAGCAAAAACATGACAGCTGACTTAAGAACAGAATACAAAGCCATAAGTTTATAATATTTTAGCAGATAACATTTGAACAACGGATACAGGTTCATGATTATGTATGTGGTATTTCCAGACAGAATCAATCAGATAACATCTCAATGCACATAAAATTACTTTTGGATTGATTCAATTACCTGTACTATGCTAGGAATAAATTAAAGTTTTCTATTCATATGATTTCTTAGAAACCTTGACAAACCCAAAAATCTATTTATTTTTTCTTAACTGAAGATGTCCCATTTAAAACAAATGTAAACAATATGCTAGATATTTATTCCAACAACAAATCTCCAGTCATTTTTCACTTGGAAATGTACTGAACAAATTTTTTGAACACTTTAGATCAACGCATCACTTCTGTAAATCCCACTATATTGAAATTGTTAGACAGTCTTTCCCCGGTAAAAACGTTAAGAGCTATCAGCCATAGAATGAAATTTGAGCTTTCCAAACATTTAATGAAAGCCTGACAAACAAATGTGGAAAAAAAAAAAAAAAAAAAGGAAAAGCCTTTCCTTACTCCTGACTTCCCGTTCTTTGTGGGAGCAGCAAATTTATTTTGCCACAAACAAGTCTGCTGAGGTTGGATGCACCTGGCCAAGACCTAGTTTCAGGCTGAATACTTGTCAGCACTCTGGGTCCAGTAATGATTGTTTTGTTATGCTTTTACCTTCAAAATGTGACTCGTGAGTGTTTAAAAGAAAACATAACTCATGACTTATGAATTTATCTTTCACTCATCAAATGTAGTTGGTAAAGAGTTACTTGATGTGTAAGAAGTCAACCGATCCTGGTTTGATAAGGGAAAGAGAAACACTAACTGAACAGGTTTCCGTTCAGTCTGAGGTTGTGAGTCCCCAGGGCAAATGGGTTCTGTATTTGACTCAGGCTGCATTTGCTGACTCTTGGTCATAGGCATATCTCATCTCAGATATCCCAACCTTCTCAAGGAAAGATCACGGAAAGCTTGAACGACTGTATCCGTTAGTCCAAGAGCTCAGTTATGAGATCACTGTGTTTTGTGTGGGGTGGGGCAAGGTAATAGCATAGTAGGAAGTTGGCAGGACTGAGAGGTAAGGGAGGCTCACTACTCCTCTCCCACTGCCCACTTGTCATGACATTCATTTGGCCAGCTTCTTTCTATCCCAGTTTCAGCTCAAAGTCATTCTTGATTCCTAAGACTGAGAGTAACCTTCCTATATGCGCATCCATAATGTGTACTCTTCATCAAAGTACTTACTCTATTGATTAATAATTGTGCCTTTACTTGCCTATCTCCTGTTCTAAACTGTAAGCTCCTTATTGAAACCCTTACCATATCCAAGTATCTCTGTTAGATATTAGTCCTTATCATAGAGTAGAGGCTCAAAAATTACTTACTGAATGACAATTAAAATGAATAGTAATTGGATTATAAAACAAGGAGGGAGGTACAGGTTTTACCACTCCATATATCCTTCATGGCTGGGTGGTTCTTTTTGTATCTTTAGAACAAGGGATGGATTCCCTTTGGATTTCTGTAGATCCTTTGGGCTTTAAAGAAGGGTAAAGTCCTAGAAGCTTTTAGGGTGTGTTTAGCACTGGGGCAATTTGGGTTCTGGAGACTTAGTTAAGTGAGGAGAAGGACAAAGATCCTTAGATCCTAGTTGACTCTACACAGAGGAAAAAACGATCTGCAGATTTCCTTTGTGGCTGTCTAATCCAGCTCACCAAAATATTAGAGTAGGAAATCCAGGCTGACTTGCTCACCAGGAACAAACAACTGGAGCATTTTTGTGTTACATTTCTTAGGGACCAGAATGTGATAGAGAAATAGAAAGTTTAAAAATCCCAAATCTTACATTAATGTTTTACACAAGATCTGTTTGAAATTAGGCTCTGTGTTCTAAATGTATCTTATATGGGTAAGGACCTCAGCACTATTTTACTTTATACTCCTTTTTATAATAGAAAAATATTTTTCTATGTGCTAGCTTTTTGTTTCTAAGCATCTTAAAAGAAAAGGATACAAAAGCTGATGTGTGTGTCTGTGTAGGTATATGTGTGTATGTGTATGATAGACTTAGCAAATAAACTGCTTTAAAAGGTACCAACAAAAGATGGATTTCAAAACTACTTGAATCTCCTACAGAACTCCAATGATGAAAGTCATATTTCAACAAACATAGCTCAGTTTTGAAAAGCTAGAGACACTGGTCATGTGTTAATTGCTCAAATGTGGCTAGACAAATCTAAGTTTAAGTTTGGAGGGATAAAGCGAACACCACTAATAAATTTGAGATATAATCAAGAAATTCTAGGCTCCTGCTATTCATAAGTGGTATGTTTCATTAGTTAAGATTTAAATGGCAGGGGCGCCTGGGTGGCTGAGTGGGTTGAGCCGCTGCCTTCGGCTCAGGTCATGATCTCAGAGTCCTGGGATCGAGCCCCGCATCGGGCTCTCTGCTCAGCGGGGAGCCTGCTTCCTCCTCTCTCTCTGCCTGCCTCTCTGCCTGCTTGTGATCTCTGTCTGTCAAATAAATAAAATAAAATCTTAAAAAAAAAAAAAAAAGATTTAAATGGCAGAATGTTTGAATAAGTATAATAGGATTCCTTATAAGAAATGACTCAAAAATGATTCCTCAAATTGTCATCTGTGAATACATCTCGCTCAATCTTCTCTTGTTCTTATTATTACAAATGAATTGAAGAGAAAAATCTTTTTTGGTGTTAAGAGTAAATTTTCCTTAGTGGTTCTTTTACTTTTATAATTTCTGTAAAACTTGTTTTTCCCTTGTTTAATATTGCTTTTCTTAGTATCTTCCCTCTAAATTTAATGCTATTCTTATTTCTCTCTCTTCTTTACTAATTGTCCTTTCTTTTTTTTTCCCCCAATCCTGCTTTCTTAAGCCCAGACCTCAAAGTTTATTCTTAGCTCTCTTAAGCAATATTGCTGATCTCAGATCCTTCAGCATTTTGGAAGAATGATTTTTCAAAGATACATAAACTTAAGGTGGGATTCTCTATATCATACATGGTAAATGGAAACAAGTAAAATAAAGAATAACCTTTGGCCCTTGTAGTCCTTGAGGTCCAGGTGGTCCAGGGGGGCCCTAAACCAAGAAAAGACAAAGTTTTAAAAAGTAGCAAGTATATGTATTACTATTTATGCTTTAAATAATAAGTACACTATATACTTCTTTTATTTCTGTCATAATCAAACATCTCTCAATCTTAATTTGCAATGAGGGCAAATTTCACCAGCTATGGAATTATAAAAATGATTTACTTATATGCAAAAATATCAATACATTTAGGTAAAATAACACTGAAGATGCTTTTGAGTTTACTTTCTAAGATAATGCAAAATTGCTGCTGTGTCCCACATTTATCTCCTTGGGTTGAGAAAGCTTACTGATATTACCTGTGTTTCCAGACCCCTGGCCTCCCACACATACACAAGGGACTTGATTCCCCAAACACTGAGGAACAAAGCTATATTATTATAAGGCCAAAGACTTTTAGAAAAGTAACAATAACTTCTCTTTTTTTGGTCTTTTTCACTACACAAACAAATGACTTAGTTGGGCAAATGTCATAAAAGGTTATTAATATAAGGAAGCATAAAACTCAATATCAGACAAAAACAAGTGCTACATTAATTCCATTACGGCCAGCATGCATCAACACCAAATATGAAGTCACAGACCACAGAAATCATGCAATAGGAGTTACCGTGACAGTTAAGGTGGTAATCCTCTGTTGGGAAAATGCATTGACAAAGACAGAGTTACCTATTTTGTGTGCTAAAGTACAATAATACATTTACGAAAAATTCAGTTGTCTGAATACGTTCTGGCAAGCCTGATGTCCTATAAGAGACTGACAAGATACTGAAAACATATTATCCTATCTTTAAATGAATATAGGATAGAAATAAAGATTTTTCAGGGAGCAGGGGTCAGATTGCCATTCATCACCTGATAAAGATTGTTTTTAAACGATTTTTAGATTTTTCTTTAAAAAAAAATCTATGTGTTAAGAAAAAAGAAAATGTCAAAATTTTAATTCATTTGATTAAAAAAATTATGTAGTAAAATGATGTTCTGGAGAGCTTTGTTGGCATGACTGTGAACTGAGAAACTGCTATTTGCAAGAGTTCCATTCTAGAGCACTTCAGTTAAAGAAAAGGGAAATATCCAATTGTAGGTGTAAGTAATATTTTTTCTTTTTTAGATTTTAGCTTATTTATTGCATTTCAATTAGCTTTTTTGGGTGCCATGGCTAAAGACAGAAGGTGACATGGAATTCATCCAATTTCTTAGTGTAAAGTACTACAGCACCACAACAAAATGTATTCTGTTGAAGGATGATTTTCCATATTTCATTTTGAATCCATGAATCATTTCTGCATTAATGTTTTCTAGTCTAAGTCTCATGCTGAAAGTTCTTTTTGTGTTGTGTGTATGTGAGTGAGAGAGATAAAGAGATAGTGTGTGTGACCAGAGGGGTGCGGGGTGAGGAAGGGCAGAGGGAGAGGGAGAGAGAGAATCTCAAGCAGGCTCCAGAGCCAGCAAGGAGCCCCGAGTGGGCCTCCATCTTACGATCCTGAGATCATGACCTGAGCTGAAATCAAAAGTTGGTCTTTCAACCAACTGAACCACCCAGGCACCACGCATGCTAAAAGTTCTGTAAGGTTTGTAACCACCTAATGTAGTCATAGAGGGAGCACACTTTCCTTCAGCGACTCTGGTCACAGAAAAATGTTATCCAGTCACATGTAAGCTTGTGAATATCAGTTTAACACCATCTGTTTATTTGCCACTCTTCCATTCCAATTTCTGATTCAGGTTGCTGCTGTTGCTTATTATTATTGTCGCAAAAAATAATCTTAATATTACCGATCTTGCTTCACACACTTGGGTCTCTAGTGACATGACATCATCATTTCTTAGAAAACAATATATTTACGCATGTGTAGAAATTATTAAAGTCTGTATTCTATGATAACATCAGTTGTGGTCATACAGCTTCATGGATAACACAGTAGGGAAAAAACCACCACCAGTGCTTCTAAGACAAAAGGCAAAGTGGTCACAAACTGGAGGCAAGTTTAAAAAAAATATACCAAGGCTCAGATTTTTATTCTATGGACTCCGGGAAACAAACTGAGGGTTTCAGAGGGGAGGGGGTTGGCGGGATGGGTGAGCCTGGTGACCGATATTAAGGAGGGCACGGATTGCATGGAGCACTGCGTGTTATATGCAAACAATGAATCATGGAACATGACATCAAAAATTAATGAAGTACTGTATGGTGACTAACATAATAAAAAAAAAACTATCGTATTTGTGTAACACAAGGCACCACTTACTTTATTCTTAAGGGATTCACCTAGAGCTTGAGTCAGATTTACAGTCATGAGAAAGCTACTTCTTTGCTCCTATAAGTAGGTGAGTCATTTCTAAAAAAGGCTATTAGAATATTATAGAGTAGAAATAATTTCTTTATCACTGTCTTCCAATTATATATTATATTTTTAACTACAGAGCAGAATCATGAAACCTTAGAAAGGGAAGAGAATTTACAATTTGAACTCTCTGAGGTTTTCTAAATGTAGGATATTTGAATTCATTTTCCACCTGGACACAAAACTAGTTTTGTCTTTTTTTAAGGATAACAACGTGTTTTATCATGAGTTGCCTAATAAGGGCATATTATTAGTGGTAACTGAACTACCTAACAGATGGAGTTTATGTCATCTTGTTAAATAACTGTATTTTGTGAGACCTAACAGTTACATAGGGTGGCTTTCATCCTGCTAATAATAAAAGAACAAATGACAAACTAAGCTTAACTTCTCAGCAACATAGTTTTTACCACCATCCTAAAGCACCCGTGTGCAGACACACGAGACATCCTGAAGATGTTGGCTCACTCTGGATTTCTTCTACCTGGTTCCTCTAAGTTAAACCTATGTGAACTCAGCAGCATTCTCTTGAACTCCACCAATGACTGGAAAACCATAATTTTGGTAGTGATGGAGAAAGACGCGTTGTTCTCTATGAGGCACGATGTGAAATGGGAAGCATGAACTGGAGGAACTATAAACAGGTTGAAGCCCCTCAGGCTGTTTTGTGATTTATTCCCTGAGATCCTTATGTGAATCTCTTTAGAATTAAAGGTTAATTTCTGTCATTTCTCATAATGATGCAAGGTGAAAATCGCCCGTATTTAAACTAAACAATACGTTTAAGTTATATGGTATTGAACGTTTTTAAAAACTTGAGTTAGGAAGTAGAGAGGTTTTACTGTTAATTTTAGAAACCTAAAAATCAAAATAAATGGCTTATGGCAGATGTTTATGTAAATAACAATTTTCAGTAGAGGCAATGGTAAAATTTTCTATTTCTATTGTGATGTTTTTAGAATTGTAATATACATCTATTTACTTATTTATTCTAGATTTTTGGGGGCAGATTTATTTTTAGAGGAGGCAATAATAAAATGAAATCTGTGGGGTGCCTGGGTGGCTCAGTTGGTTGAGCGGCTGACTCTTAATTTGGGCTCAGATCATGATCTCAGTGTTGTGAGACTGTGCCCTGAGTCTGGGCTCCACGCTCAGTGGGCAGTCTGCTTGAGATGCTCTTTCTCCCTCTCCTTCTGTCCCTCCCCCTGCTTGTGCACTCGCTCGCTCTCTCTCTCTCTCTGAAATAAATGAATAAAATCTTTAACAAAAGTGAAATCAGCAAAATGCTAAATATCCATCACTGGCTAAGAATAGAAGAGAAAAATGTCGACTACCTCTTCTCAGGCTAATGGCTTAACTAATTTTTTAAGGGCCCTTGTTCTAGTAGAGTACTATATTAGGAAAACAAATAATTTTTAAAAAATAACTATAAGCTATTTACAAGCATAACATATAGTTGCCCTAACATCCCTGTTGAAGCAATAAATCTTTAGGTTGAGATAAAAACATAAACTACTGGGGCACCTGGGTGGCTCAGTGGGTTAAAACCTCTGTCTTCAGCTCAGGTCATGATCCCAGGGTTCTGGGATCAAGCCCTGCATCGGGCTCTCTGCTTAGCGGGGAGCCTGCTTCCTCCTCTCTCTGTCTGTCTCTCTGCCTACTTGTGATCTCTGTCAAATAAATAAAATCTTAAAAAAAAAAAATAAACTACTTGACCGTGATGGATATTGACTGGTTTATTGTCATACAGAACTTGAGGTGGAACAAGAAACTGAGCACATACATCATTTCTTGTCAAGACCTAGGTGTCAGTTTTTTAAAAAGTACAGTACGTTTATATATATCAGCCAAGAGTGTTCAGGAGCTCCAAAAAAGTGACCCTAAGCTTAATATTATATTTTATGGACTCTTAGGAAAAAAACCTATTCTACAACATCTTTACTTTACAAATAAGATAAATGAAGTACAGATACACTCATTGATTTCCTGAAAATGAGTCAGCTAGTTAATAGCAAAGGAGAGATCAAAACAGATTTTAGTTTTAGGCTGAGAGTAGCTTGCTTCATGTCTGGCTCTGTTCATGAAAAGAATACTGCTAACGTTTGAAAGGATCGAAAGGAAGAATCATCTGGGTGGCAGCAGTGCAATGTTGGATGGGATTTAGATAGATGAGGGAAAGGGAAGAAGAATGGGATCAGGCAAAAAAAGGGTGATTTTTATTGATATGGTAAATATGACCACTCTTGGGGAAAATCTGTGCTGTGGAGAAATGGAAAATTCTATATAGGAAAGGCAGGATTAGAGAGCTTTGAAAGTCAGATGAAGGTCAGGCTAGATAGAGTAGGTAGGTAAGGGGGTCATTCGAGTTTCTGAACAGATTAGAGCCATCAAAAAAGTGACAGTTTAGGAAAATTAGTCTTAGAGTGATATGCAGGATGGGTTAGAAAGGGCACTAGGATTAGAAGAATTGGTTAAGGGCCTGTTGCAATGTTAGCCCTGAAACAATTAAGATATGGACCAAGCTGGGAATGCAGAGAATGAGGCAACCTTAGGAGGCACTTCGAGAAATGAAATGACCACATGTGGTGAGATGTAAAGGATGAAAGAGTAACAATAGTTGAAAATGACTCTAAAGTTTCTATCTCAAGACAGTCAAAGAATTACAGGATCACTAAAAGATAATGATTAGTTAAAAAAAGGAATCATTTGATTGGTGGGAAAAGTGACCAGTATAATTGTGTGTGTTGGTAGGAATTGATAGGGCAATGGTGAATAGCTAGTGGAAATATTCTTAGATAGCTGGAGGTACCCACAACACGGACCCAGAGGTGAAAGATTTGGAAGCCACAACACAGAAGAACACAGAGAGAGTGACTGAACCATGAAAAGATCAGAGACTTGAGGATACCAAAAATTAGGGGATGACAGAGAAACTGGAAATACTAACATAGAATGGATCTATCAAAGAAGAAAACTAGAAGAAATCAGAGTAGAGTATTAGAAAAACCAGAAAGAAAAAGTTTCAAAAACAAGGTAGTTTAGTAGAAATGTCACAGAAAATCAAGGGTGAGGAGAACAATAGGCTTGACCTAGAGGTCACTGATGGCCTTTTAAGAGAAGTTTTAACAAAATATTGATATAGGCTAAAATGGAGGAAGCCAAGCATAAAAAAAAAGACTCTGAGAAATAAACTGAGGGTTTTGGAGGGGAAGGGGTGAGGAGTTGGGTGAGCCTGGTGGTGGGTATTAGGGCACGTATTGCATGGAGCACTGGGTGTGGTGCATAAACAATGAATTCTGGAACAATTGAAAAAAAATTAACATTTTAAAGAAAGGGATGAAGAGAAAGCAAAGATGATGGAGACAAGCTACATGGTCTACAGACTTTTACTCTATAGGTATTTCTCTATGGTAGTACATTATATTATGAATGGTAGCAGTAATAAGAAATACCTAAAGAGGACTTAGTATGTGCCAGGCACTGCTTTAAGTGTATAATATGTATTTAGGTATTTATTTCTCATAACAACTCTTGAGATAGGTGCTACTATCTTCATTTTGCAGATGAGGACACTGAGGCAGAGAGAAGTTAAATAACTTGCCCTCACCCATGCACTGAGTAAGCAAGAGATTGGCACCCAGGCAGCTCTGACTCTAAAGCCACAGGGCTCTTAATTGCTCTGCTAGGCTTGCTATTGAAGCAAGGAGACAACGTGGCAAAATAAGCACAAGGTTTAAACCAGATAAAACTAAACACTAAAGCATATCCAAAGACAGAAGGGAAAGAAAAGGAATGATGGAAATACGCTAAGAAATATGCTAAGAACACACACTGGGGCATGGAGAAGGGGATGGGCTCAGGAAGAAGGTGTCCTTTGAGCAAGTGGAGCCCTCTGGGATCATGGAATGAGGGGCATGGGAGCTGATATTTACACATATTACACGGGTGTTCATTAGTGTCACTGTGTCAGGGTTGGCGACAGTCACTTACCTGCAAGGCTTCATGGAGGTTGCCATTGTAGTCTATGATCTCGGTGGCTCCCTGATCTCCCTTTTGACCAGGTGGACCCTGTGAAGAAAACCAACCATGGGAAAATCATGGAAGTTAAGCTAGCCTGTACAGGGAACTGTGGCAGAAACAAAAATAGCAACATGCAGCTCTCTCTGACCAGCCGTTCTGTTGTAGGACTCAATTGCACTTCAGAGTAATTATCCTCAAATTTCGTCCTTACTGCAAAGAATACAAACGCTTTTGATGTCCTACAGATTAAAGATATGAAACTTGATTTTTTTAAAAAAGAGAGATAATTCAATCTCTGAAACTGCTTTCTGAAAATTATAAAATATAGGCTAATCTGATTTGACTTGCAACATTTTGTTGGCTTTAACAATACTTATTAAAGCAACCCCTAATCTCTTCTTATTCTTCTCATCTAATCGATTGTTTCCTTATTAGAACACTGTTCTGTAGGAAATGCTTGGCGTCTTCAGTAGGAACAGAATTCCATTAAAATTAAACCAAATAGGGAACAGATATAATATGTCTACCGCACTCATTAGTTCTGCCACCGAATTTCCATTAGTCATGTCCTAATTCCCTGCCTGTCTTTAAAAAAGGCTTAGAAAATATGGGCTATTGCTTTCCTTATAATTGGCTTAATTGAAAAATGGAAAATTCTATTAGCTGGATGGTTATGGGCTTGCTATTGCTCAGTTAGCAGAGGGAAAGTAGAGAGAAAATGTTCTTTAGAGCTTTTCTTGTGAGCTTATTTTACGTGTTAGACTCTATACACTCATTGTTCCAGTTGACTCAAATAAAAAAAAAAAGAAAAAGATAAAAGGGGAGCAGCAGAAATCAAGTAGTCCACCTCCAGTGCTATTATTGGGTAATATTAGTCCAGGTGCCTTGTGAAAAGCCACATGGATATATGAGTCGAATCTGGGCTTGTAGGGGCCAAAAACTTAAATGAAAAATGTACTCACCCTTGGTCCCAGGGCTCCAGAGTCCCCTTTCTCTCCACGATCACCCTTGCCCCAGGGAAAAAAGAAAAGACTCAATTAGTAGTGGGGCCAATGGTCCAGAAATATCTCAAATCTAAGGATATATTTAAACTATGCAGAAGCACCTCTGATATGAACTTCTGACATGGAAATAATAGCTCGAAGAACAATAACCAGGGACATAGCAAATGCTTCCTTAAGATGCACTGTAAATCCCCCTTTCAGATGACAGAGTATCTTGGAATACAGGAACTCTCTTACTAGAGATTTTCAAAAGCAAGGCAAGTGGTTTCTATGATACCCAAAGTAAGCTTTTACCTCTCAGACTGAGCCATACTTTTGTTTTTATATGAAGAGATTTGGGGCAAAGGAAAACAGAGCCAATCACTGGGTTGTCTGTTTGCTGAGAAAAAAAAAAAAAAGGTATGTAGAAAATCTGGATAGGGAAGGAATGGAGAGCTCAGTCTAGGGAGGTTTAGAAGGGAAAAGTGATCAGTGAGGCCGCTCTTTGATGATGATGAAGATCTAAGGAAAAGTCTAGAGATACAGGCCTTTTAACATTCAGAAGGTGCTGAAGTAGACAGAGCTAGCCAGAGCAGGTTGGCAGGGCTGAAGGTCGGGGGTAGGGGGAAACCAGCTTTGTTTTTAAAATGCAATATGTAAAATCACTGAAGTTCCATTCATGGTGTTATTACCCAACCTGGAGAGAAACCAGGAATGGCCCAAGCATCAAACCACACAGGCATCCCTCCAAGAGCACTCAAAATTCTCCTAAGTCTAAAAAGAATCTTTGGAGAAGAGGTTTGAACCTGTGTAGACTAAAAAGTTCTTTAAGACAGTCTTAAATTTGTCGTATTCTTTTCCTAGGTGGAATTCAAAGCCTTTTAATATGTCTCTCTACATATTTCATAAAATGGATATGGACCAATGAAAGTAAGCAGGAAAAGGGTTTTTCATTTTTTTCTATCCACATTATACTAATAACATTGACCATAATAATTAAATTTGCTATGAATAGAGAATTAATGATTTCTGCTCTCTGTTTTCCTCATTTTTTACCCATTTTTTTTCATGTTATTAGCTGATAACATCTTAAATAACATGATTTTGCTTACAGTATTAGATTATGGCAAATATTATAAAAAGCATGATAAAGGAAAGAATTTTAATAGGTGGTGAAATTTTAATGTCATGGAGGGAATCAGCTAACTTAAACGCAAAGTATAATTTGAACATTTATCACAAAGACTGCCAGGAAATAAATAAGATCATACCCTACATAATGTAAATTAAATAAAGTCTTTTTTTTCGCCCAAAGAAGCTATTCTCACGAAATAGGAAATACAACTTCTCTTAAATAGTAGTCTGAAACACAAGAACACACTAAAACAACAAGATAAAACAAATTAATTGTTTTGAGATAGTATCACAGGGATGAAAATATTGTGATCCCAGTGTGTGAGAATTTAAAACATGATTCTCTGTGGAAGAGGCAAAAGGCACAGCTCTTGAAGGTGTCATGTGACATTAAAATGGTTACTGACCTTTGACCCCTTTGGGCCTCTAGCTCCTGATTCACCTTGTTTGCCCTATTATGGGAGAATATGAAAATGGAAAAGAGAAATGACAGAGGAGATAAGAACAGAAAAAGGAAATTAGCAGTGACTCAGAATAATGAAGAAAAATGGAAACACTTTATTATAACTGTTTCAATATATGGCTCTATGTAATTTTGGATATCATAATATAAAGCTTAAATAGTTATCACCATATCATTAGCTCATTCTCTGGTCTCGCCACCACCTTCATTCCATTATAATTCTGAAGACTGCCCACCCATCACTGGATGGGAAGAGTTCTGTGAATAATCCTCATTAGTCTCAACAGTGTTGGCATAAATTTCTTTTTCATCAAAGACTAAACCATTTCCTGTGTCTCCAGGATGGATTATTAGAATAAAGTGTTACCATATTAGTTTGCAGGAAGTTTAGAGGAATAAAGACTGAACAGTGAAATAAATCCCTAGCTCTGATATTTTCAGAGTGTTCTACACCTTCAAGTTACCACAGAAACTAACACATCACATATAAACATTTTTCTCAGTAAGTTTTAATACGCACTGAGTGACAACATGTTAATATGACTGCACCTTTCCCTTTACATTTGGATGTGTTATTAGATTTGTTTACTGGACAGAACAGACTAGAAAAGTTGAATCGTAAAATTCCTTTCAAAAAGAACCAAACTGTGCATTTCAATAAATTATGATTTTTGCTGTTTTAATACCCGTTAAGGAACTATATTTTAGTTTCATGTTCTAAAGTAAGTAGGACACATTTCCAAACCAAAGAAAGCTATCTTCCAATGCAAGAATAACTGACCTTTGGTCCAGGGGCTCCAGGCTCCCCTCGCTCACCTCTTCCAGGAGGCCCTGTCTCCCCACGTTCACCCTATCGCAAAATACAAACAAGTAAATGGCAATTCCTCCTTCACCTCCGCCCCTGGGTTGGTCCCTATAGATTAACAAGTGAATTCAATAAAATGAAGGAAAGTGCAGAGTTACCACTTATTTACCACGTGTCCTGCACTGTACTAATCTCAACATAGATTATTTCATTTAATAATCAAAACAATTATTCAGTGTTTGTATTATCATTTCTATTTTATACATAGGGAAATGGTTTGGTAATGCTTATCTGATATCTATGTTGGTAAATGGAAGACGTTTAAAGGGAATTGATAAGAGCATCATTATATTTCAAGACAGACATGGACACAGTTTTCATTCTGTGGCAACTTTTTAAGATCTGCCAGGGGGGAAGCATGGCCAAGTGGCTAAGTGTCAGGTTTTGTAATCCAACATCCTAGATGTTAATCTGGGCTCTGTTATTCACCAGTTCTATGTTTTGGGACAAATTAGTTAAGTTCTGAAAAAGTTAGTTTTCTCTGTAATGTGAAGAAAAGTATAAAGACAAAGTGCTCAGAATGGTGCAAGATACATAGGGGTTACAACTTTTGACTATTTTCATAGCTCTATGAAGAATGAACATGATCACTGCTCGCAAGGAGCTAATGATCTGGTTAGACAGACAAGATCCACATAAGCAATATAGTTCAGAATTAAGGAGTAATGTAAGGCTAACATGTGAGAGAAGAGGAAATCCCATAGGGTTTTGAATGGTCCAGATTGGCTAGCTGGAGGGGAGATGGAGCCATGTCCCAAAGGATGGATATGGTGTATTTTATAACTATTGTTGTTTATGATTGTGCTTTTGATGAGTCCAGCAGCTGCCTGAAACACTTCATATGCATTGTCTTATTTAATCCTTGGGACAAAGGAGAAAGGTACTGGTTCCCAGAGTCTTACAGATGAGCAGACTGAATAAAGCTCAGGGAGGTTAAGTAACATGGCCAAAAATCACAAAGCTTTTAAAGTGGGAGAGCTGTGATATAAAACTGATTGTGCTCAATACTCAACTTCTGCATAAATGTTTCTGTATGTAAATCTTTTGCACATATCTGATCATTTTCTTAGGATAAATTCCTCATTGGGAACTTGCTGGGTCAAAATGCACAAACATTTGAAAAGCTTGCCAAATTGCTCCCCAGGAAGACCATGTCATTTTCCATTCCTGAGCACAGAGTAGAGAGTAACGGCTTCCTGCATGATGGGTAGAATTGCAACAATCAAACAGGTTTGGAATTCAGACTGGTGCTGGCATGTTTATGGGTGAAAAGTCACCCTCCTCACTGAGGGAACTGATTCATCATGGAAAGGAGAATAAACTAGCATTGGATCTGTCCTGGGTGATTCAGGGCTCTAAATTCCAAGATCTTTATCTGTATCATGCCCACAGTGGGTTTTTGCGGGGGAGGTGGGATAGATTAGGGCAAGGATTAAAGAAGACTCAGCAGGTTCTTCAGCATGAACTGAAAAGAATGTGAAAATGGAGAACCTGGGAGAAAGGCAAGGGACTTGTCTGGGTGGAAGAAATGGAAGAGATCTTCCAGAGGGATTTTCCAGGGATTAGAGACAGAAGGGCCTCCACTGGTATACGGAATTTTAATTTTTAAAAAGTGTACCATATTTAGTCTTTCTTTAAATATTTTGCAGAAGAGTTCTAAAATAGAAGTTAGAAACTTATTTTAAAGAAAAGCAAAAAACCTGAGAAAAACATTTATCTATAGCATACTACAGGAGTCAAGCATATATATCTTTACCTAGAATCACTTTTTGTCACAATGCTCCACATTAGCTGCTTGTTACCCTATGGAATTATACTATTTATGTGTCTACTTCCATCTCTCCTTCCACCTCTGTCTAACACATACTGGAATGTAAGCTTCAGGAGAGTAGAGACTTTTTGTTGCGTTTACTGTTCATCCTCAAATATTAGAAAAATGTCTGGCAAAAAAAATGTGCTGAATTAATGAATAAACATTTTATTCAGAGTATTCTGAGTTATTCATAATAAAACCTCATTTCTTTAGGCTGATACAGATGCTGAGGATACAGCAGTGCATACGAACAGATTTTGAGATACCATTATACATCTTCCTTCCTTACAATCTTTCTTCATTATGTTGGAGATAAAATATGCAGGGTTAGTTTATTTTTTAAATCTGAATTTAGTGGTAAAAATCCAGACTTGCCTACACAACTGGAAAAAGGCCACTGTTCAGCTAAGACAGAATTTTAAATAAACATGACTTTTCTATTATAATACCAAATTCATGTTGGTCAATTCAGCTGAAAATTACTCATATTGTTAATATAATTGTTAAAATATTGTTAATAAAACAAATTTCCTGCCCACATCCCTTCTTGTGGAAATACAAAACAAGTACAGTATGTTCTTTACTTTTATTGGGAATTCAAAGTAGTACCTGTTAAAATCAGCCTGGGTTCTTCATGAGGAGGAATCAATGTTGATTTTGTGGATTTACATCTGAATTTTTTTGAAACCCCAGAGTAATTTATTTATTTATTTTTTAAAAGACTTTATTTATTTACTTGAGAGAGAGAGAGACAGACAGAAATAGCAACAGAGATGGTAAGAGATAGCACGAGTGGGGAGGAGAGGAAGAAGCAGTCTTCCCTCTGAGCAGGAAGCCCAGTATGGAGTTTGATCCCAGGACCCTGAGATCATGACCTGGGCCCAAGGCAGGCACTAAACTGAATGAACCACCCAGGAGCTCCAATTCCAGAGTAGTTTAAAGATTTTATTTTTAAGTAATCTCTATACCCAACATGGGGCTCGAATTCAGAACCCTGAGATTGAGAGTCTCATGCTTTACTAAATGAACCTGTCAGGTGACCTGAAACTACAGGGTAGTTGAAAATCAGTGAACTGAAGAAATGATACTTAGGGATGAACTCCATTCCCTACAACCTGTGTTTCTTCTACTTCCCCCTTTTCAACAAACAGAACGCCACAAACATTTAAAGATCTAGTTCACACCTGGTTCTCTCTGGCATTGACCAAGTTTTCTACTCCTTTGTGCTGACCTATGAGGCTGGCTTCTTTCTTTACCTGGCTTGAGGCAGCACGCCTGAATAAACACGACAGTTCTCATATGAACACGGAATCCTCATTATTCTCTTGCTTCCTCAGTCTTTATTCCAGAAAACACATTACTTGCGTGAATCTGTTCAGGCTAAAAGAGGCATTCTTCATATTTTGTTAATAAGCTTGACAGCTTATTATGTGAAAAAGAAATTGCTTGAGAAAACAGAATTTTGGATAAATTCAACTGAGTTTCAGTCCCCCTTAGGCCACACATAGTTTCCATTTACTAGGATTAGAGTTGTTTTCTCTTGATCAGCGGAAATGAGGACTCCTCTGTCAAAACAGACCACGAACATATTTCCCTAGCTCTTAGAAACCATCCTGGCTAATTTCTGGTGAATGCGATACACATTGAGGCAAAGACTTCTATGGCTTAAAAATAAAAGAATATAGTTTGATCTAATTTTGCCCCTTTGATTCATGAATCTATCATGAGTAAAGTTCCATCTTCAGAGCTATACCTTTTTATAACTTACTGAGTAGATAAAAAGAGAACTATGGGTCCAACTACATCCACAGCAATGTAATTTTTTATATGGTGGCATAAATATTTTGCTTTTAGGGCCCTCTCTAGAATTGCCAAGTGGAAGATTATGACATGGTTTTCATTACAGGATCTTTCTGTAGACATTATTCAGGATAGATCCTTTTGAAATGAGACACTTAGGAATCTATATGACATCAGTACTTGCCTTTGAAATTAAGGGAGTGGGGGGGTAGTAAAAATGTTTGATTAACAAGTACGTCCTAAAATTGGTGAAAAGGGGCAGAAGTTAATGAATTCTATTTCTTCTCATCAGAATTCTCCCACTTTTTCTTATAGTCAGGAGGTAAACAGCATCATATCTACTTAGGAACAATTTGGGGGAAAACAGGAGCAACTAATATATTTCATTATCCTATTGTCTAACCTGAGGCTTTCTGGAATTAACTTCTTATGACTCTATTTAATGTGGTATTCCAATCAGAAATGTTCATAATAGGTGATAGGTAATTTCATTCTCTGTTAGGCAAAAATATCTGGTCACCTAAACAATAAAGTCACTCCACACTTCTTTCAACACAATGGACTAAAAATATATGACAAAATATTTCAGAAATAAAGAAAGGAAAAACACCACTAACCTTTGTTCCTGGTAACCCTGGTAAGCCTGGTTCTCCTTGAGGACCAATGAAACCTGGTTCTCCCTTTAAAAAGGATAGGCATATGAGATTGTTATTCATTTGGCAGTAAATAAGTAAAGTTAAACTGATTTACTTCTACCGGGATTTTGCCCCTTTGATTGTATGCAGCTTTCCTGCTGAGACCCAGCTACTGAGTATCAAAGCAATCAGAATCGGTTTTGGTCAGTGAAAATACTCTTAGCAAAGTTTTGGAGAAACTTGAAAAAGTAAAAGTGACAAAGAAACAAGACCAATGTCTTTACAAATTTCTTTGGCATCTGTTGTCCTCCATTTCTTATCATTTACCAAATTCAGATCCACTATGTTAGGGTGGATATGGTAGGTGGCCTCTAAGACAGGCCTCAATGATCCCACCTCCTGGGTATTCACGCCCTTGTGTCATCCGCCTCTGCTAAAGTGTAGATTGGACTGACTTACTCATATCTAATGAACAGACTATATTGGCAGAAGTAATGGGATATCACTTCAGAGACCAAGTTATAAAAAGACTGTGGCTTCCATCTCTGTGGCCCTTTCTTGTTCTCTCTCACTTGGATCACATGCTTTGGGGAAAGCAAGCTGTCATGCTCTGAGCAGCCCCATGGGAAGCCCACATGGTGAGGCCCAAGTTCTGCCAACAACCATGTGTGTGAGCTTGAGAACAGATGTCCACCCCATCAGAGTCTTCAGATGAAACCACAGTCCTGGCTGACAGTTTGACTGCATCCTTATGGGAGACACTGAGCCAGAGGCCATCATCTGAGTTGTGCTCAAATTCCTTTTCTTCCAAAACTGTGAGGTAATTTTTGTTGTTAGTTTTGGGGGTAATGTGGTAGGCAGCAATAGACAACTGATATATAGGTGTGGCTAGGGAGGAGATTCAGGAATGTTCAGCATGTAGGGAAAAATATCTCTCCTTGCTATACCTCCATAACCTCTTCCCTACTACATGGAGGAAACCCAGTTGTGATATAATAAAATATATATTTTTATATATATATATATATATAAATATATATGGTCTTGTTCCTGGTTCCTTGCACAGAGCTTCTAGAACCCTTGGAATTTCCTGAGTGATAAAGAGTAAAATGAGTAACTTTTGTTATTCACAACAAACCTCTTTCAGATGTACCTGATGGGTTCCTAGATAGCTTCCGGAGGGGAGTGTTAAAGTTGGAACTCCTCTCACCATCCCCAGAGAGGGCAGAGGGGCTGGCAATTGAGTTCAGTCACCAATGGTTAATGCTTTAATCAATCATGCTTATGTAATGGAACTTCTATAAAAATCTTTAAACAGTAGGGATTGGAGAGCCTCCAAGCTGGTGAACACATCAGGGTGCTGGCAGGATGGGACATCTCAACTCCATGGGGACAGAGGCTCCTGTGCTCGACACTCTTCAGACCTCACGCTATCTAACTCTTCATCTTAATCTTTTATAATAAACTGTGATGGCATGGCATTTTCCTGAGTTTTGTGAGTTATTGTAGCCAATTTTCCAACTTCAGTGCAGTTGAGGGTGGATTGGTTGTTAGTACCCTCAAATCTGGAGTCAAGTCAGAAGTGCAGATAACCAGGGGACCTAGTATTTCTGATTGGGGCCTCTAGACCGTCCTTTAGACAGAGGTTGAAAGTGAGGGCAGCTTTGTGGGACTGAGCCCTTAAAACCTGTGGAGTCTGATGCCAACCCTAAATAGTTGGTGTCACAATAGGACTGAATTGTAGGACACACAGTTGGTGTGAGAAAACACCTGAGACCAGTGTTCATATTTTCTCCAGTATCCATAAAGTTTTATTTTCTTTTTAACAATGTGAGCTCAAGTGTAAGAGTCTAACTTCTTGAAATCTATAAAGAAGTTTTAAAGCAAAAACTGTGATGGCTCTGTTCCCATACTTACTGCTCCACCCTCCCCCATTTGCATTATTTCTGGAGCAGTTGCTAATGTTATTTAATACGTTTGATTTTTTTTTTTTATGTAGTGATATTTCAACATTTGTTTTTTGATACTTAGAGTTGAGCAGGCAGATACAGAGAGGATGTTTTATGACAAATGTTTATATGTCATCTAATATTTGGAAACACATTAGTTTTTTAAAATATGCCTCAAAAAACCTTGGGTACTGGGTGGGGAACAAAAGGATATCACTATCACAAAATATATCACATTGATATAGAACTCAAAAATATTTATCTTTATCTCTGATACTCATGGTACTGGTTTTAGATAAAAAAAAATGTGGAAGCTAAGTAATGCTTTAGGTTTATTGTTTGTGAGCTTTTTCAGACTCTATTCTACCTGTTCCCATAATCTTACACATACAGAAAGGAACCTCCAAACAAATAATTTTTGTATGATCCCTTAATGGTCTAAAATGAAAATCAACAAAATTCAGAGAAATCATTGATGACCATTCTACTTAAAGAGTTTAACTTGTTATTTTAAACAAACAAACAAATAAATAACATGGAATACATTTATTTACAAGTAAGATGTTTTTCCCAGTAAAATTTCATATATAAATACATAAATATTCTCTGTCCATCCTCAAGAAAAAAGTTGTAATAAAGTCAATGTGTATCATTAGTAATGACTTACTAACATGAAAATCTAATGTGAGTTAATAGGTTGAAAATTTATAGGTAGAAAAGACTCTTGCATATCTTCAAGTAGAAATAAACTGATCTCACTATTTAGCAAAACAAATAGAATACCGTTAAGCATACTAGTTAAAGAGAAGAAAAAAGAGTAAATATTGAAAAAACATTTTTCTTATTCAGGTTAGTGTTTAGTTTATAAAAAGATGAAGCATGCAGTTTCAAAATTCACAAATAAATAAATAAGGTTTTGTGATCTCAGTGGTCAGACAAAAGTGATTTTTCTTCTTTTAATAAAATAGAATATACATTAAATTCTCCTAAGGAAAGTATAGTAAGTTCCTTTAAATAGAATGTTCAGGGGGGAAATTTTTTACTTCCAAATACACAATTAGCCATGCCTTTGACAGTCACGATGATTTTAGCACTGCCTATGTTGGCTAATTTTAAAGACTTTTGAGTATGATTAGTTTGACCTTATTTCACTCTAAGAAAGCATCTGCCATATTGATGTATTCATTTCTTATCTCAATTTATTCAAAGGGAAAATAGCATACTTAACTTTAAGATCACAGTTTTATGTTTATTTAATTACAGAGCTCTCAACCACTTTGGAGACATTTTCTTAATCCTCTCTATATCTTGGCACAGTAGGGAGGAAATAATCATTTGTGTCTTTTCTGTCTCAGGCTTGAAAGAAACTTGTTGAGGTAAACAATGCTTAAATAAGTTTACTCATAGTCTTGAGCTTTTCGGGTTGTTTCTTAACTTCCTAAGCTAATGCGAGAAGAGAAGTTCTCAACCTCTTTCCTTTACTCGTTATTAGTGTACACAGTAGAAAAAGTTCATTGATAGGGTTTCAGATTCCACATTTCATTTAACACTTAATAAACTACCATTGGTAGAGTTTGGAGTAGTATTGAAGAAGAATATCCATAATTTTATGAAAAGACTATTAAAATAATCATCCCTTGTCCAATGACATATCTGTGTGAGGCTGTTTTTCTTCATACACTTCAACTAAAACAACAAATGGTAACAGAATGAATGCCTAAGCAGATATGACAATCCAGGTACCTTCTGTGAAGCCAGACATTAAAGAGATTTGCCAAAAAAAAAAAAAAAAAGTATAACAATGCACTGTTCCTGCTAATTTTTGTTTTGTTTTAGAAAATTCAATTATATTTCATAAAAATGTTATTTAATGAACACATAATGATTTTTTTAAATGCCTGTTTTAATTTCTAATAAAGAAACCTCGGTAGATATAATAAGCCTACATAAATGAAAATTCTTTCAATCCGAGTTTTTAAGTGTGTAAAGGATTTTTGAGGCCAAAATTTTTGAGAACTGTTGCTACAAAGGTCCAGAATTGAGTTAAAGCATGGATTTGCAAATTGAAATCCTGAGGTGCCCAACAACGGAAAATACTACTGTTCTTAAGGGGTGGCTTAGTCAAGACTTATCAGATAATGCAAGCAATGCACTTAATGCTGTCACCAGAATAAAGTAAATAAACAATAACTGTTTGTCATAATTGTTGCCTTTATCTTTCAGTCTCAAAAATGCTGGCTATCATCATAATTACTGCGGTTAGTAATAGTATTACAACATCTCTGCAACTAATTGGTGATATACAAGGTGACTTTTTGTTTCTCTACAATCTATATGGGGCTATACTCAATACCTCTCCAACTTCTTCTGAGAAGTAGTGCTAAAATTTCTCATGTGAATATATCATCATTTCATGAGATGATATGCAGCCGTAAGAGATTTTAGGACTGCAAAAGCAGAAGTATATAAGGTAGAGAAGTGACAGGTGTACTAAGAATGAATTTTTTTTCCTGTAAGGACGGAAAAGAAGAAAATGGTCATACCTACTGAATTTCTCTAAGTAAATGTAATCTTAAAAAAAAAAAAAATCTTGCCTCTTTGACAAGGACTGATTAAAAGTTCCAACCTCCTAAAATGTCTAGGACAAAGGCCATGACAATCTATGGTTTTGTGGCAAAAAAAAAAAAAAAAAAAAAGCAATTGGTTTTTCTACTATAGTCATGATTCTAGTAAAGCAGAATAGAGGAAGGAGAAAAATTTGGTTTAATTTTCTGCTCTTGCCTTGGATGATGTATCTGATTTCTTCCTGAGTTGTTTCATGAGTTTTGTCCTTTGTCTATTCTTTAATGAATTAGCTCCCCACCCATGAGTTTGAAAATCGAGTCTCAATACCAAAACTGTAAAACTTTTCCCTGTGTTAAGCTGGTAGAAAAAAATCAATAATAGAGTACCTGTGGTTTTGGCAAGTAGACTGGGATTTGGGTTGGCCAAAGAAATGCTATTTATTCAGCATATAACACAGTAAAGGTCTAGTAGTACATTGCTGGGAGCTGCAGTCAACAGCAGTCAGCAGTCCTATCTGAAAATCGGACACAA